GTGCAGGAGAAGGTGGAGGGGTTACAGGTGTCACAAGCTGATGAGGGCCCACTGGTTGAATACAAAGCAGTAGTACGGCCTCACGCCTGTACAGGTGAGCAGCAGCACAGCCTGCAGAGTGCAGGAGGCCTTTAAGAGCAGCTCGTGCACATCCAACGGGGATGGTGGGTCATTCTTCGGCCCTGAAGGCAAGGGGGGTAGGGGAGGGATTTATTGAAAATGGAGAGCAAACAGGAAAAGCACTCCAGCAATTTGCTTTGACCTTTCACAGTTATACTTCATCCTCTCACTGGCAAGGCATGTGTAGCAGCCAGGGACACAGAGCTCGTTGCTGACCCTGTCCACGCGCCATGTGTGAATTGCACATCCCTCTCACCCTGTGTTTGTACATCGAACTGTGCACATGGTGGCTGGTCTGTGTTAGCCAGGGGTTGAGTGACACTGAGGGGGTTGTAAATGGAAATGACCTTTGAGGTAATGCTGGAAACATTTCTGACTAGATGAGCAAGGGATGACTGGTCAGTAAGAGGTGTCTCGGCAGAGGCACACGTTAAAAACCTGGGTTGTGCCAGGGTGGAAATGCCACGGCTGGTGTAAGAGAGGTGCCAGTGCATTTGGGGTCTGAATACGCAGCTAACCCTGGGTTTTTCTGTGGTCAAGGAGCAAGAGATGCCTCTGGTCAAATAGGTACAGGTCTTAGGGACTGACAGGGAAAAGTGAGCCCAGCTCCTGAACTGACTTTCTAATTCTTACTTTCCAATTCAAATTTACCCCAGACCTCTAAGGAGGCAAGAACACTTGAGTCCCTGCAGCCCATAGGAGTCTGTCCTGACACCTTTCCTGTGCTGTTTTCTGTGAGGCTGCAGCAGGAGGAGAGGCTGCAAGGACCCAGCTGGGCTGGATGGCTTTTCTTCCACCAGAACAAGTCTGGTGGAGATTAGGAAGCATGTTGTGTTGTCAGCCTGGGCCTCTGTCTGCACCGTCAGTCAGACATATGGCAGAAATTATCAGAGGAAGATGGAGATTACCAGTGGATTAGGGCTGATTCACCACCCCAAGCAGAGCCGTTGTGTCTGCACTATCCTGGCTTCAGGCACAGCCAGTCTGGGAGCTGGGTGCTTGAGGCCAGTTGCCTCATGCCGACAGGACTGGGAACAGGCCTGCGTTGGTCTGCTTCCTTTTGTCCAGCAGTGACTTTCAACTGCTGCCTGTTTGCTGCTCCCCAAGGACCCAGCACTAGCCAGGTGACTTCCAGGGAGCTACGGGCAGCTCCTTGCCCTGCCTTGCCTGTTGGCAGCTCGCCGGCTCTGCCCGTTCTTGCCCTCTGCCATCGTTGTCAGGAGCAGGATGGGTCAGGGCAGCTCATTCTGCGCAGAGGGTTCTGGATAACAGTGTTGGGCAGCAGCCGCTGTAGAGTGCTGCAGTGGAGCTTCTCTGGGCTCTCTGGAGAGAGCTGCTTCTGGGGAGTCCCGACTCTTCGTCCCACTGTCAGATTTACGTGAGGCCGTGGCGGGTGTTTGCTTTTGTAGCAGTGATGTGGCTGAGATGCTATCGTTTGGGCCAGAAGCTGCAGCTTGGGCCAGCCTGTGCTTGCGCGCACACCTTCTCGGTCTGCGCCGCTGGCTGCTGCAGCTCCTGCTGTGAGTGTCCGTGCAGGGCCAAGGGGAGCCTTCGGGGAGCTCCTGCCAGGCGAAACGTCTCGGGCCAGAGCCCCGGAGCCAGCTGGAGCTGCTCTCCTCGCTGGGGAAGGCTGGTAGTGCGAGCGGCGGGCAGCCCGCAGGCTCAGCCCCGCCGTAAGCCCACTCCTGCTGCTGCCTCCCCCCTCCCAGAGACAGGGGTGATGCCTGCCCACGGCAGGCTTCCTGTGGGGCAGGGCAGGGCAGGGCTGCGCTCACCCCTTGGGCTGCGGGAGCTGGCAGTACACAACCAAAGGGCTGGCTGCGGGGGACAGTCCTTGGGTGGAGAGGCTTCTTCCTCCCTGTGTGGCAGAAAGGCTGCCCTCTCCCAAGCAGACCTGACAAACTGCCAGAAATGTTTTTTCTACTCACACTGGGATGGGTTTTTTTCCCTTTGTGTTAGTTCAAATTATGAAGTCTGATATGGAAGGACATCTTTTGGCTTGACACAAAGGCCACCCTGTTCCCTGGGATCTGAGCTGCTGACTCCTCCTGTGTGCAGGATGCTGGCGGGTGGCACAGCGTGGCAGAGCTCTCTTGCCCCTGTGCCCCAGGTGACACGACCACCACAGGGGCTGAGTGGGGTGGAATTCTTCAGGCTGCGGGGCCACAGAACTGAGCATGCAGAGTAAAATAAAACTGAGCCAGGGTCTGCCCATGCCCAGAGGAGAACCGTGTCCCTCGTGTCTCTGCTGTTGTCTGACGGTGAAACGACTGACGCTTTTGTTACCACCACCCCTCAGTGGTGACCTGCAGGTTTCGGGAAGTGCCCACTGTACATTCAGCACCGCACAGAAAGCAATTGGAAAAGACAATTTCACAGCCATCCCAGAAGGGACCAACGGCATAGAGGAAAGAATGTCAGTCATCTGGGACAAGGCAGTGGTAAGAATCACTCCAGGGAGAGGGCAGAGCGGGCAGGGTTGATGGGCACCTCAGACACCCGTGTTCTTAACCCCACAGAGTTGGGCACACAGCTGCCTGTCTCCTTGCTGGTTTTGAGAGTTAGAACAAGCCAGAGCGGAAGAGGCAGCTGTTGTGGGCTTAGGGTGAACAGCCAGGAGCTGTGACTATGCACCCAGTTTTCGGTCTGTCTGGTGCCAGTAGTGCGATCAGCCACAGCGGTCTGGGCCCAGCCAGCCAGTGGCTTGTGTGGGAGTGAGCCTGGTGCTTCCCAGGGCTCTTACTCTCTGGTTCCCCAAAAGAGCACTTAGTTCTCTTTGTGTCTGACCAGGCCACAGGAAAGATGGATGAAAACCAGTTTGTGGCTGTGACAAGCACTAATGCTGCAAAAATCTTCAACCTGTACCCACGGAAAGGGAGAATAGCAGTGGGCTCGGACAGCGATCTGGTTATATGGGATCCTGATGCGGTGAAGATTGTGACAGCAAAAACCCATCAATCTGTAAGCAAGCCCTCTGTTCATCTATGGGGATGCTGGAGGGTGGGGTGTGAGTAGCGCTGTATAAAGGCTTCCTGGCTGCTGGGAGCCTGGCACTGCCCTGATGTGCTGGGTTCTGAGAGGAAGGGACTGGGTCCAGGCTCTGGGCAATGCTAGCTGGGACTGGGGGATAGGATGTCTATGAGCCCTGGGCTCTGGTTTGTGTTGGGAGCTCTGGTGTGGTGGACTAGTGAACTGAAGGAGGCCTCTGGGGCAGTCAGGGCTGTTACAGGCATCTTCTGCCTGCACTGGTGGCTTCAATGGCGAGGTGTGGGGACTAAACAGCGCTGGGTGGGCGGGCAGTGCTCATGTCCCTCCTGACCATCATCCCCCGGTTGCGGCAGGTGGCTGAATACAACATCTTTGAAGGGATGGAGCTACGTGGGGCCCCCCTGGTTGTCATATGCCAGGGGAAGATCATGCTGGAGGATGGCAACCTGCACGTGACCCAGGGGACCGGGCGCTTCCTGCCCAGCAGCCCTTTTCCTGACTATGTCTACAAGCGCATCAAAGCCAGGAGGAAGGTGAGGAGGCAGGGATGCTAGGAGACAGAGTTGGGACTCTGTTAGCCCAGATTGCCCTTTTCCCTAATAACTGTTTGGTTTTCCTTTGCTGTTCTTGCTGGAAACAGTGCTTCAAACTGCTGTATTTTAAACTTACAGTTGGGATAGTTAAGGCTTGGGTAGAGAGCTTTGACCTTAGGGTTGCTGGCGTGCCACCCACCTGGCTGGGTCAGCAGTGGGTGATGCCTGCCCTTGTTGCCGTCCTGCTGCAGCAGGACTCTGGAGGGAAGTGCTGAGTTAAAAATGAGGAGACTGAGCAAAAATGGCCTTCTCCTTCCCCATCCATGCAGCGTAAACCTGTGCACCAGGCTGGGCACACTTTGCAGGGTGGGAGCAAAGGGAGGCCGTCACGCTGGAGTTGTGCTGCAGGCTGCGCCAAGCCTCGATGCTGCAGGGAGGTCTTGGGCATGTGGGATGGAGGGGCAGTGTGAATTGCCTCTGCGGTGGGACTGGGGAGCCAAGGATTGCTGCAGTGTGTCGCTGCCATGGCAGGATGCTCCCTGGGAGCAGAGAAGTGTCACTGTCCTCTTCTCTCCGGTGACAGATGGCAGACATGCATGCCGTGCCCCGGGGCATGTATGATGGACCTGTGTTTGACCTGACCACCACCCCCAAGGGGGGCACACCTGCAGGGTCAACCAGGGGGTCCCCCACACGGCAGACACCCCCCGTCAGGAACCTCCATCAGTCTGGATTCAGCCTGTCAGGTGAACACACGTGGCGGCTGGGCTGGGAGAGTGCAGAGCCGCTGGCCACGCTGTCCCAGCCCCTGGCCTGGGGCGGGGGGCAGCTGGGGGTTGGCCTGGGGCAGGCTGAGCACAAGAGTGGAGCGTGGCAGGGTGAGACCCTGCATGTCCCTGAAAGGACATGGCTGGAGCTGGCCCTCCACTCTGCCGCACTTTGCAGTAGGAGCAAGGAGGACTGCGGCCATGGAGGTGCCAGTGCAGCACCAGACCCTGCTCTTGCAGTGTGGGTCTGTTCATGGAGGAACATCTGCAGAGGCGTTCAAGCCACTGCTGCTCTCGGGGTTGTTACTGGAGTCGGAGAAGGAGCAGGTTGCTGTAGACAGACTTGAGAGGCCCTTTGGCAAGACCCCAGGCTACCTGACTGCTCGGTTGTGTGAAGAAAACGCTCTAACTTCGCTTTCCCCTTTCCTCTTGTGCTTTCTTGTCCTCTCCCAGGTACCCAGGTCGATGAAGGTGTTCGCTCCGCGAGCAAGCGCATCGTCGCACCCCCGGGAGGCCGCTCCAACATAACCTCCCTCAGTTAAATGTCCCTGCCGAGAAGGAAACAAAATCTCTGTTCAAGCGAAGGAAGAAAAATGGTACATTGGTGTTTAAGAAGGAAAAGCAAATAAACCTGTTCTGAAGAATCGATAAGCCTCAAGCCTTATGTTTCACAAATGCTACTTGCTACCTAGCTTTAAAGATATTGCTTCATTTTGTTTTATGCATAGCCTTAAAATTCTGTTGTTGTTGTTGTTGTGGGTTTGGTTGGGTGGTGTTTTTACTCTTCCTTTCTGTATGCATGCCGCTCAGACAGGTCGCTCGGTTCAGTGTGTTATTCGTGTTGAACGCGTGTGGGATGCCGTGGTGTGGGACAGTGGGAATGACGCAGCGTGGGCGAACCAGGGACAGGGGCCGGCCGGCGGCGCGGTGTGGGGCAGGGAGGGCACATTCACAGGAGCTTGGTGGGGACGGGGGAGTCTGTGTCGTGTTCGTGTCCTTCACCTCCACCCAACGCTCGTTGGCGTTTCACCACGAGGCCCACGGGGGAGCCCGAGTCATCTCTGTAACAGCTCTCACAGCGCCTCGTGTAAGGAGTTTTACTACTTTGTACACTTTATTAAAAAAAAAAAAAAAAAAAAAAGTTGTTCCTTCAAACAACTCATGTTTCTTGTTGGCTTTTTCTTCTTCCTCAGGCTGCTGCTGGGCAGGGGTGGTGCGACGCTGTGCCCTGTGGGCAAGCTGGGCAGCTGGGTCCAGGGGGGCTCTGGGGTGCACTGCATCTGGAGCAGCTACAGCGCATGGACAGGCTGCTCAGATGGGAACCGTGCGGTGCTTGCTGCCGTAGGCGTCAGGGTATTGGTGTAGCTTCTTGGGCAAAAGCAAAGGTATTGGCAAAGCAGCGTGGTGGAAGTGTTTGTAGAAGCCTGTTCAGTTTTTTCCGTCTGGTCTCTGGCAGCCTGACCTGGCCATCACGGGCTGTTAATGCCTGGCAAAGCTGCGCCTGTCACCTGTGTGGTGACAGAGACCAGCGCCCCACGGCACTGCCTGGGCACGGTGTTTGGGTCTGCCCAGCTGGGGCTGGCTTGGAGACTGTTTTCTGTGGGCACCTGTGAGTTAAATGCTCCCTTTCTATCAAGCAGTGTTTATCAAACCGAGGGTCACAGCCTTCTAAATCTTGCAAAGCATGCAAAAAAAAATTTGATTGTTTTTTAAATATTGCAAAAATTAAGTGCCAATTTCAGCTGTGCTAAATAAATACACTTTTTTTTTCTTCTTCTTCCTCAAGTATTTGACCTTGAAATATTTATTTTTACATGCCTGCAACCCAGACAGGACAAGTTGTCCATGGAGCAGTCCTTAAGGGGCCATGCCAGAACAGTCGTGCCAGGGGTGGGGAAGGCTGTTCATACTTCGAAGTTTTGTGAGGTTCTGCTATCAAGTAATTACAGATTTTCTCTGTTGCCTGGTAGTGATTAAGCTGAGACTGTGCCTCTGTTTACAGAGGAAGAGGGGAAAGGAGAGATGGTTTCAGAAGTCTTTGGGGAATTTTTAAAGATGCAATGTTCTTACCATTTAAGTTCTTGAGGTTTTTTTTTTGTTTTGTTTTGTTTTGTTTTGGTTTGGTTTTTTTTGTGGCCAGCCAGTACAATGGTATTTATGCAGCAACAGTTTTTTTCCCCAGTGAGGAGCAGGGCTAGTTTCCTTGTCTGCGGCCCCAAAACACACACATTTATGGCGTATGAACCTCTTCACTAACCACACCAGTGCAAGACGAGGGTAGTTGTGTGCTGAGGGAGACAGGTACAACTGCTGGCACCAACTGCACCTCGCCCCAAACCCTGTGTAGGACTGAGCAAAGACCAGAGGTGCAATGGAAAATGCTGCAGGTGCTCTGGCTAGCCTCCCTGGGAATGACAAATCTGAAGGCAGGAGACACAGAGACCTCTAGCCCCTCCTTCAGCAGTTGTATTGCTCAAAAGCAGGGAGGGCTGGGGAGGGGGGGAGAGCAAGAACACAGAAATATTGTTGAGTGTGGTGTGAATTAGCAGGAAAAGGTGGCTTCCCCATTGCAATGACCCCCTTTGAGGACTCCACTAGCTGCTTACTGGTGAACTAATTCCTTTGCAGCTCCCTGGACAGAAAAAGGGTCACACTTTCCCTGCAGGTTGTTTCCATGCTGTTAACATACATACAGTGATGCTGCTGCCCTCCGCTCCCCAGCCCTGAGCACACACGCTGTGCTGCAACTATGCCAGGAGCCTGACCTGAGCAAAACCAACCAGGCTACCGGGCACAGCATGTGGAAGAAGGAGGTGGTACTGCAGTGCATCAACCCGCACAGCTGTGGGGCACTTGCCCAGAGGAAAGCAGGGTGCTCTGCTGCACCCCACCATCCCTGCAGCCTTCACCCAGAACCAGCTTCCCCTTACCCTAGCACCTTCACGGGATGGCAGCAAAGAAGCTGCTATAGTCCTCTAAAACTTGGGGAGGGGGCTGCTTATCTTTATTGTTCAGAGGTGACGATTACATACGGCACCATGTCAGGAAGAGGATATGCAGCGCAAGACCAGGCCCCCTTCGAGTCCAGGGAGGTGCTTGCATTGCGGTACCTGTTAACAAAGATAGCAGGACCTCCAACCACATCCAGTGCCACTCACATCTCTGTTAGAAATTACTGCCCCCAAAAAAAAGCCAGATGGTTAAAGGCAGTGCAGAAGCTGTCCCACAGGGGTTGGAGCTGGCAGGGTGGAGGCACAGAGGCAAACACTGGAGCTCTCTCAGCACAGAGTGAGCAGAGCAGGGGATCCCCCAGCATCCCCCACCACAAACCAGCCTGCCCAGAGACTCCGTCCCCCCAAAGGTGGTGGGAGAGAGCCTGGTCGGGCCCCTGTACAGACCCATTGTGCTGGACTGCCCTGCTCGGCTTTTCCGCAGCACAGATGTGCTCCGCTGCAGCCCCCAAGGGACGGCGCCGGCACGGAGGGGAGCCCCAGCCAGCAAACGCGATGCGGGGGTGGCACAAGAGCTGGTCTGAGCAGGGGAAGGTGCGGCTGCTGCACAACAGCAGTAACCCCACTCCTACAGTGAGGCTGTGCCAGCCAGGGAGCTGCTGGCGTTGGGACACCGCACCACTGCCAGAGGACGGACCAGAAAGGGGAAGACACCAAACTAAGGCTTCTTTTTAGACATGACCTAGGCCCAAACTGCTCAGTGCTGGGATGCCCGCTGCACGCCCTGCAGAGGTGGAACAGGCAGACAGGACACTCTGGGCCATTGCTTGGCTGGACAATCTCCTGCCTTGGGGTCAGGCGTGCTGGGGGGGACTGAAGCTGTTCCTCTTCCCACGGGATGGCTGCTTGCCTGTGCACATGCGTAAACCATGTTTCCCAAAGCAACCAGCCAGTCATCCTCAGATCAATGAGACAGGGATTATTCATGCATCAGTCCATCAGACACAGCTATGAGGACCACTGGGACATCTATGGCACACAATTGGTGTCCGTAACCGACTGAATCCAGAGGTCCATAGGCAGGGGGTGTCTGAAAGTCCTCGGCCAGGGGAAAAGCAGATTTAAACTGAGTCCAGTAAAGTCCTAGTGGGCTCTAGGCAGGAGGAACACCCATTCTGCCTTACTATGCAAGTGACCTCAGAAGTAACCTTTGATCAACTGGGAAGGAACCTTTCATTTGCTGTTTGTTTTATTCTTTGCTTTTTTTTTTGTTGATCAGATTTAGCCAGAGAGATAGGCAGGAAGGCACAGGGGATACAAAGAACACCTTTGAGTAAATGGGAGGCAAGTGATTCTTTCCACATTCATTATATTGCTGAGAATAAGAAAAATGTCAAATAAGGAGGTGAAACCGCAAGTCTGCCAAAGCATTTAAATAATAGTGTCATTCCCAGCATTACGGTAATAGAAATGGTTTGGCCAATCCCAGTCTTGCCAGATACTGCACCAGGAGTACAGCTGTTCCTGCAAACAGTAGCCGCTTAAATCAAGTGTGATTTCAGTGGCAGAGAGATTAAAAATACATATGCAAATTTACCTCTGGTGTTGGAAGCCAAACCCCATCAGATTCAGTGAGTTGCATCAGTTCAATGTGATGATGAATGGGTTTTTCAGGCTGACCTGGAAGAGATCTGGATGCTGGTTATTCACCAGGGCCTGGCTGTTACCTCTTCATCTTCACATCTGTTTGCATGCTCTGCTCACCCACCGTGCCAGCCCTGCTCTGTGAGAAATGGGTACAGGAACCATCACGGAAAGAGGGGGAAACAGATGGGAAAGCTTTGCTGCCTCCTCCCAGCTAAGGAAGGAGCTCATTGCCCCTTCCAGCCCTCTGTGCCCACACTTGTGGGAGGTTTGCAGGAGGCAGCTGTAGGCAAAGGCCACCTTGGTCACTGCACCGCAGCTGAGAGCGGCCTCTTCCATCCGGAGCAACCAGGTATGAGCCCAGGTGGGTGTCCCGACCCTCACAGACCCCGAACCCACAGTGCTGTCAAGGACTCACCACCAAGACTGATACTGGTGAAGACGCATGGTGAACCCTTCGGTTATGCTGCTGGCAGTCGCCTGGCAGGCAACACCAAGGGCTGCCAGGCTGGCTAGCCAAGCTGAAACGGAGAACACTGAAATCTCATCCATTGTCACATGGTCACATTCCAGCCACCAAGAAAGGCAAAATAATAGGAGCTGAGTCTAACTGACTGTGGCAAGTTGCAGAGGCAGCACCCGCAGCCTCTCCCCCCACGCCCAGGATCCAGCAGCTGTGGGGTGGAAGGCAGAGGGAGTGGGTGCCCCAGCTGTGCCCAGCCACCCTGCCCTGGGCTACCGGTGGGGTCCTGGCAGCAGCCGGCCAGGCTGGTGGCCCAGTGCTGTGCAGGTGGGTGTGCGCCAGCCCCACGAGGAGAGCGCCGGCAGGGGCTGTGCTGCCTTCAGAGGTTCTTGTTCTGGTTCTGCTTGTATGTGCTGCTGCTTTTTGCCAGTGTTAGGGTCTCCTGGATGTCGCTGTGGTGGTGTTTCACCCTTAGGGAGAGAAAGGGATGGTCGAGCTGCGAGGGAAAGCCCAGGCGGTGCCAGGGTCCACACAGTGGTGCAGCTGCCTGGGACCATCCCGAGCCCTGGTGTGAGCTGCCACTCACCCCACAGGGGCTGTGCTGAGACCCCGCAGCCCTGAGTCCCCGCAGCCCCGAGCCCCCCCATAGCCCTGAGCCCCCCCATAGCCCCGAGTTCCCACAGCCCTGAGCCCTCCCATAGCCCCACGTTCCCATAGCCCTGAGCCCCCCCACAGCCCTGAGTTCCCACAGCCCTGAGCCCTCCCATAGCCCTGAGCCCCCCCACAGCCCTGAGTTCCCACAGCCCTGAGCCCCTCCACAGCCCCGAGTCCCCCCATAGCCCCAAGTTCCTGTAGTAACTGCCTGCACAAACGGGGCAATTAATGCAGTTTGTGGCTGAGGGCCCAGCCCTGCGCCTCAAGAACAGCAGTGCCACAACAGTCCCCGGCAGATGACAGATCAACCAGCATTCACCAGTACCCACTTCCCTCAGCTGCCTCGTTAGAAAGCTCCTAAACCCCCGTCTGCAGCGTTGGCCAGGATGGCCCAAAACCCAAAGCTGTCAAAGGCTTTGACAAGGGCCAGAGGCTCTTATCAGTGATACTGCCTCTGTATCAGTACTTACTTTTCTCTGTTGAAAACAATGAAGTCCCTCTGGAGCACCTCTAGGTGCTTTTGAAGATGGCAGGCCTTTCATATTCAAATAGAAAAATAAAGGGATGAGGAATAAATTCACAGTTAATGCAGAAAGGCATTACAAGGACAATTTCAAGGAGCTACAGAGGTATCTTTAGGTATAGAGCATCTTTAGCATGGCAGTAGGGAGAATGGCATTAAGACTTTCATATGAAACTGGTACTTACACATGCTGCCTTCCACCAAAGGGAAGATGCAAAAGTGTTTTGGGAATAAAGGTGGTCACAAGAGAAAAAATGGCCAGTTTAAACCATTTTCTGTGGTCTTGCTAGATGGCAATCAGCTTTCTTGGGAAATGAGAGACTTCCCTGATCACATGCTTGTAACTGCTTGTTCTCACCTGGGAGGAATTGTTTTTCCTGGTGTCTTTCTCCTTCTTAGCCAAGCGCTTTTTTTTCTTGTGCAGAGGTTTGGATTCTAGAATCATTTCTTCCAATTCAAAGGTTGGGTCACAATTCAGTCTGCCTTTCTGGAGGGGAAAAAGAGGTAGCCTTAAGTGACCAGAGCCTGTCTTGAAGTCTCATAACTTGGACTGCATCTGGGAGCTAAATTTTGTAAAGAATAAACTATTTACAACTGCACACATAGCTAGAACACCTGCTGCACTTCTCACATATTTTATCAGTTTCTTCAGCCAGGGGACATTGCCAAGGTGTGACAATTGCTCTTTTTGTGCTCACTGATTCTACTCTGCCCTTTGGCTGCTTCGAAGTGACAGAGAGGACAGTGTGTCTCAGCTGGGTTGTGCCTCTGCTAGGAGGAGCACAGCAGTCTGCAAAACTGGTTTTAAATCAATATGTGTACACCTACCACAAAGAAAACCAGCCACATCAGGGGGAAAATATATACAATTAGCAAATATTCATAGTTTAGCCCAACTTATATTTGGTTAAAAACAGTTGGAATAACACTGCACACAGCAGTTCTTGGATTATTTTCCATGAAGGCTATGTTATTTCTGTGGTGTTTTAATCCAATTAAAAAAGGATCAGTAACACTAATCTACTGTAGGTGTTATTTTTCTACAAGGAGCTTGTTAGGGAGAGTCATTACAGGAAGAAACAATTACAATAAAATGGCGGGTGATCTGCAGGCTGCTAATGAGCCTATGTCTGTTCACCGTTTTGTTTTGTTTTTTTTTTTTTCCATTTGAAAAGCTGGTGGGAAGCAGGGCTGCTAAGAAAGGGGGTTTGGTGCAGAATGGCTCACAAGCACTGCCAGTGTGCAGTCCACCTAGCATGCCACAGAGAGTCTGGAGCGTGTAAGACCAGTTCTGCATCCAGAAATTCTGGGAATATTATAAACAGAGCAGATCACTTTTGGGGCACCCACACTTTGTAGTCATGCTCCTTTACTCTTTATTACACCCACAGGAAGGTGGAAATTTTGCCCTTGCCTCCCTTTTCCTTGGTCCCTTACAACACCTGATGCTCTTGTGGAAATTTGTAAGAACTTTGCACGATCTGGTGCCAGACACAAGAGCAGGCTGCAGCATGTAACGCTTGGGCACATTGAGAACCTTTTAAAATCAAATTGCCTTACCGTGGGAATGAATTCTGGCATTATCCTTTTCTGGAGAACAGCATCCCAGTTCACATCTGACAGATATGGAAAGTCCTGGATATCTTTCAGCTGAGAAAAACGCTTCTCGGGGTTCGGCTCGAGCAACTGCAGCAAGAGTTAAATGAAAAAGGTGAGAAAGCAAAACCCTTCAGGACACGCAGCTCTGCTGACACTCGGCACTAACACTGGCACTTTGACCGGGTGTCTCTCTTCTGTTGCCCTGGCTCAGATTCCCTTCACCAGCATATGCGAGGGGCTCACAATCTTTAACTCTATTTATTCTCATTTTTATGAACAACTTTTATCCCCATTTTAGGTGATGAGGCAGCACAGTGACATTTAACAATTTGTCCAAGGTCAAAAATAAGTATTTGTTTCAGAATGGAGAGTTAAACTCATGCCTTTGTGTTCTCAAATTAATACCACATTCCCTGTTTTCTCACTCTAGTAATAGAATATTCATAAGTATAATTCCAGTGTGAAATAATGCATTCACACTGCTTATTTTCAGCATTTTTTTTTCACATTGCTGTAGGAATTACTCGTGTAGAAGGAAATGCTTGAGGTTCGTCTCTGAAGTTCAAGGATTCAACACTGCATATACTCATAATAGTATGTACTCCAAAAATCTATCAGGAAAAACAGACAATCCAAACCCTCTGGAGAGGGGTGGATAAGGTGACACGCCCCCAAAGCCTGGCCTCATGCTGGCGTGCAGCTGGGTGCAGGCAGCAAGGGCTGTGCAGAGCCGGTTGTACCCAGAGATCACCCCCCAGGTCATTTCCTCCTGCGGAGTTCTGCTCCAGTCCTAATGTGAGTGATGCAGCTCTGCTATGAATGATAATTTGCCTTGAATGTTATTAAATACAAAAATCCACAGGAGATGTTTGAGCCAAGACAGAACCACAGTTGGCCTCATATATAATACATCTGGCTGTTACACCAAATGCAAAGGGGCACCTGGAAATTCAATGAATTGTGACATTGCATTATTTATTCACTAAGGAGACTATATGGCTTGCGGCATGTTGTGGTCCAGGGAAAAGCTTCCAACATAATGACACAGAGGACGTCTGCAGTAAATATTCTTATATGACTGTTAGGCTTAAGGAAATATTAGTTCCATTTAATTTTAAGCAAATGGAGTTATTCTTCAATTCTCTTCCTGGAAAATATGCCATGATTCTGTCTCAGCAAAGAACTGACGTCTCATTTTCATTAAAAAGTGTGAGAGTATTTCATTAGAGATGACAAAATACTTCTACATACTATTTGGAACAAAAAAATAGATGAAAGTTACATTAAGTACTACGTTATTCCCTACACTTATTTGATAAATAGAAAACTATTTGCACACTTTCTAAAATTTGCAGCTAGTGCTGTTATGAAGGGTTCGGTATTTCAGCTCTGCTGCTACTATATGCAAACAGTGTCTGACTCTGTCAAGCAATAGTTTAATTTATTGAATATATGGCTTCACTTCAAACATGACTTCAGCTTCAAAATGATTCCAGTAATGATTTTGAAACAATTTTGATAACAGCTTTATTAAAAAATAATTACAGTGGTGCATAAAGCACACGGCATCAAAGGATTTCAATAGTATCAGCATTTCTTGCAAATCTTTTCATTATTGGGAAGAACAGTTTTTAAAAATAATTAAAAAAAAAATGTATTTTTTTTCCAAACTTATTGATGCATACTAATATCCACTTCTAAGTTATGTGATTCCAGAGAGACAAAGTTATAGGAGGAACTCTAGAAGCAAAGGCTGTACCTGTCCTGAGAGGAGATGCATTAGCAGCAGCCGCACTCGCCAGCACAGGCTGCATCCCTGGGGTGCAGTACTGATAGCTGGCTATTACACGAGTGCGGCTCCAACATTAAAAGCTGGATGTCCATCACACGGTACCCTCTGAAGGTCACTAATCCTGGGTCTGGACAATGTCTGCAATGACTCCCCACAGTTTATGGCAAAGGCTACAAAGCCTGATGGAAGGACCGGGCTGCTTTCAGCCCGCGGCCAGGTGTGGCACGTCCCAGTCCCCAAGCCAGCCGCCTCCACGCCTGCCCTCACCTTTTGGATTAGCGACACCATGTCTGCGGACCAAGCAGCAGGGTACATCACTGTAGCCGTCTTGAACACGTGAGCGATTTCATTTATGGAAGTGTTGGAGCGAATATGATATGGCCTCTGTGAAAAAACGCCACAAGGAAATCATTTTAATTTATATATTTTTTCAGACGCCTTGGGAAATCTTTTTAGAGCAAAAAAGCTTCAAATAAAGGCTCTTTGTACACTCCCCAGGCCTCCCATTGAAAGTCTCTCCCAGTGTGATTGTTGCTCAGTTGAAATAAACAAAATAATAATGTCAGCAATAACAACAATAATAGCTAAATATTTAAATAGAACAGAAAGGAGGCAAAGTGCAAAAGCCAGAGCCATTAGCCAGCTTGTGTTTGCTTGGCCTTTTCAATATTTGTATCTTAAAGGGCTATCAAAAAGGATTTTATATATATAGTGCTGTGGTTAGAGCATTCCCAATATTCCCTGTAAAAATGTGTCGCTGGTTTCAGTTCTTCACTGATGCTGGAGATGACACAAGCGAAAAGGAGCAGGATTTCTCCCACCTGTCAAATCAGCTGAAAGAATGATGTCCCAGGAAGGGTTACAAGTCCCCTGTGGGACATCAGGCTGCAGGATGACCCATCCCTTCTGCAGAGTGACCAGTGTCACAGCAAAGGGGTGGCTGAGCTGTTTCTGAGGGGCCCGTGGCTGCACATCGTGGCGCCAGGCGTGCATCTGGGCAACGTGGCCCAAAATGGCGGGCAACATGCGGCCCAAAATGGCGGGAAACGTGCGGCCCAAAATGGCGGGAAACGTGCAGCCCAAAATGGCGGGCAATGTACAGCCAGAAGTGGCGGGCAACATGCGGCCCGAAATGGAGGGCAACGTGCGGCCCGAAATGGCGGGCAATGTGCGGCCCAAAATGGCGGGCAACGTGCGGCCCAAAATGGCGGGCAACGTGCGGCCCACGTCACCCCATGCATATAACCCCCAACTACAGCACTCCTACTGCCTTACACAGAAAGATAAGTTACGATGGTAGAGTGTTTCCACTTTGAAAGATTTTTGATTCCCAGATTTTTATAGTATTTGGGGGGGGTGAGAGTGTTCAAAGTACCTTTGAAAAACAGTAGCTATAAACAGTGAGATCAAATCAGGCGCATTGTGCTTAATGTGTACTGACAGTAGGTGGACCTCAAGGTCTCCCTTCACTTGCCCCATGCGGTAACTACCAAAGGTGCCACCATCTTACCATGGCTGTGCCACCAGGTTTGAAAACCTAACAGCATTTCTGCTCCCATCTTTGGAAATAGTGCCATCAAATCAAAAGTCAATGCGATGAACAGTCCTGCCATTCATTTAACATTGCAAATGGAAAACTCAAACATTACATGTTTACAGGGTACACATGGCTTCAGTTACCCAACAGGTCAGACAACCACGTCCCCTTAATGGGTACTAACTTGACCATTCACAATTTGAGCAATGCAAATTAATTTGAAAAACTGTTCTTTAAAATATATTCATCAAAACATTTCTTTAGGCAAAGACTGATGATAGTATTTCTTAAAAACATGTTTTGCAGACTCATACTGAAAGAAGTTTCCTAGCCACAAGATTTTAAACAACCTTTTGCTTAGGAAATAATGTAATTTAAGTAATTTTGTCCCACTTTTTTTACACAACACTTTCAAAACACTAATCTAAGCATCTGTCTACAAAGACCCCCAACCTTACCTGAGTTAGAAGCAGAATGCTGACATGACAGGCAGAGATTGTCCTTTATTAATAATTTACACATTGCAGTTTGCTTTTGCTCAAACTGCTCAATCTTATTATAAGAGCAATGACATTTTTTTTTCAAGTTTTTTTTTTTCTTTGCAGCATGGGAGCTCAAAGTAAATCATATTGAGGCCAAACTTCAGAGTTGTCACTCATTTGCCTTGCCCAGCTTACGCCAACCCCGAGACCCTGGGGTGCAGCAGGGAACTGTCGTGACACACTATTCTGTATTGCAACTGTTTCTCCAAGCTCTTAGTTGAAATAACAAGAGCTCTGGTAAAGATGTGGTTTCTGCTTCCTGTGCTGTAATAACCCTTAAAGCCTTGAACTTGGCTCAGCCCTTTCATCCCTGTTATAAAGCGTCAACCTTTCCAACAGAATGTTTAAGGAAAGAGAGGGACAAAGGGGGACAGGAGCCGCGCACAGTACCCGGGTCCTGAGCAGCTCGTAGGCAGTGATTCCTAAGGACCACCAGTCCACAGCGAAGGAATAGCCGGTGGGTTTTGTGGAGTTAAACATTTCAGGTGCTGTGAAATACAGAAAAAGGAAAGTTTGCCTTGCTGCAATCTCAGGAGGAAATGAGAGACACAGAACACTTGATCCATGCAACAGAGAGCATCCCTGCTATTCTGCCTAGGACACAAATTAGCATATTACCCATTACCACACCTTTGATAATTTCTGCTTTTTTCTTCAAACTAAATGGCATACGGCTGGCATATTGGTCCTTGACTGAAACACCGCTGAGGTGGACACAAATCAGAACGCGTGGGTTTCCTTGCAGCAGTTCATCTTTTGGTCTTGGTCAGGTTCCTCGACCGCTGCCACAGCCTCGCAGTGCAGGAACACCCCACGCTCTCAGCGTGGAGAGGTGAGCAAACACTCTCCACTCCTCAGCGTGGAGAGGCGAGCAAACCCCTGTGTGTGCAGACCCCCGACCTCCCCCGCTGAGAAGTGCTGCGCAGTGCCCGTCGCTGCTCCCGAGCCGCGCAGCAGGACCCGCCGACCTCGTGTCTGAGCCCGTCTCAGTGCAAGCCAGACCTGACCCAGATCCCAGCACGACAGCTTAGCCCAGATATTTGCCTGCCCTGGGAAACCTTGGCCCTGCTAACTACATGCACAATTAGGACAGTATGGAACTTTTTCTACTGTGTTAAAAGCCAAACAAGCATTTCAGCTCCTCTGTGCCTTACTCTGCACCAGTGAAATGGGACTGTCAATAATTTCTACCTCAATGGACTGTTAAAAAACTTAATTTATTATTGTGTGTAAATGATGGGATGGCCTTGAGAAACAGGTGTGCTATCACATTTGAACTGGAATGTTTAATGTTCAATAAACACACTCCAATCAATCTGAATTATAGAATGCCTTATTGTAACTCCTGTAATCACTAAGAGATTCACCAGACCCAATTAATTTCCTACATTATACAAAACACTAAAACTCCAGCTGTCCTGGCGTAAACCCCTTCCAGTGCTGCTGTGTTCCCACTCCTGGGGCACCCGAGAGCCCCATGGTCCCTTCCACGTGCATCTCTCCGTGCTTCTCTGCCCCCCAAAGCCCGAAAAGAATAAACTTTTGCTGACACAGTATTTGCCCATTATCCTACAGTTACTGAGCTTCGGAATAAGGATTAACCCTGGTTCACTGAATCTAGGCATAAAATTGGCTTGAGTGTCTCCTCATCTCCCCCAGAGAGCCTCTCTGCCCTCAACTAGTGCTCAGTAGATCTTCATGTTGGAAAGCTGTTTCCATCCCACTCGTATCTATTTGTTCATATTTAAAGTACTTCAATCTGGCAGAGCCTAAATACAGCCTCACACAGTGAATGAAAGCAGCTCTTTAAAAACATTAATATGCAGCGTAAATGTAGACTTAGTGCCAACAGCACCCTTGGCAAGGAAAAGCAAATTTTAACTGAACGAAGCCTGAGAGCCATAGCTTTTTAGGAGGAGGTTACCAGGCTAATAGGAAGCGGATGGAGGCACAGACTGACATGTTCTTTCTTAGCCAATAAATTTCCCTTTTGAGAGTAAGGAAAAAAAATACTGTAGGATTTTTGTGCAAGCTGAGAGGCAAGAATTGCTCTAAAAAAAAAAGGGACCAATGCTTTCTTTTTTGTGCATGGTTTTCCTTTTTAAAAGGATTGCATCAGTAATGCAAAGGTGAAAGGTCAATTGGTAATCTTGATAAAAAGGAGATTCCAAGGGGATTGCCCTAAGGGATTTGGCTATGCAGCCGTTGTAGGGAGGCTACATTATTTAGGTCTGAGAGACAGTGCTGCTGTATATGCAAGTATGTATTTTGTGTGGGAGGGGTTGTGGTAGCTGTATAGAAGTATTTTTGAGTGGTTTTGCTTCAGTTAGGAAAGTTGAATTTATGGTTATAAAGACTTTCTTGTGTCATGTTTTCACAGGAGTTCTTTTAGCATTAGCTCAGGACATTTTTCTCAGGTTCATTACCTGCATGCTCTGGACCCAATTTCTCCCAGGTATGTCAATGTTATTTTGCTTTATGTTTATTAACTGCTTGTGTGATAAGTATCAAGAGGGTCTCTTGCTGTCTGAAAGTGGTTTGGACAGTAAGTGAATATAAGCAAGTTTTTTGTACTCCCCTTATAAAGCAGAAAATAAAAAGAAGCAAACTTTTTTGACTACTAGGGAAATGAGGTCTGCATAGGGAGCAATCACTGTGTGTCTTCTTTCCACGTGTGTGGGTTGATTTGCTCATGAAAAAAGTTCCTGCAGCTGACCCACCCACTCCAGAGTCACTTTGCCCCAGGGCAACACCCCCCATGCACTCCTACACCTGCCTGACATGTTTTCTCACCTGGGACTAGTCCCATACCATTTCCCGGAGATAAAAAGCTTCCTAAAAACTGCATATTTTGTAAACTGAAGAAAGAAGGGGAAGGGGATGGTATGCAACTGTAGCAACCAGCCCATCTACTGAGCTCCGTGGCCCTGGGGGGCTAGTACAATGCTTTGTAGCACCAATGCTGCTCTGGGAGGCACGCAGGTGTGCTGAGCACAGGGGAACCAGCTCAGCAGCCCTCCAGAGCCTGGCTGTGGCCTTCCCTTCCCTACATCTCCCCAGGGCTGGTTTTCGCTGCTTGGCAGAAACAGCCACATCTACTGCTACTGGCAATAGAGGTGCAATAGCAGGGGTTTTCAGGAAGACTGAAAAACAGGCTCAGCGTTTATCTTCCAGTTGTGGCGGCCACTTCTGCACTAGCTGTGCCTCTCTCCTACGGGTATTGCAGATCCGTCACCAGTGTGCTCAGCAGCCCCCAGTTATGCCTGCCCTCCCGTCCCGCTGTTTGCAGGCAGGATGCTGTCCTCAGCAGTGGAGGTCAGAGCTAAAGCCTCACTCGCCTCTTTCTGATGCAGATCTGGCATCAGTACAGCAATGCGCTCGACTGCATCAGCCTGGCACTAGAATACGGGCTCTTCCCTACCGTGCTGAGAAGATGCTGCAGTCCAGGAAAACTGCAAGTCTTAAGTCCACTCATCTGGCCTACGCAGAGTAATGTTATGTTTCAAAGCAGCCAATTTTATAAAAGTTCAAATTATTGCTAGCGATGCAGCAGTGTGAGACTTGTGCTAAAGTACCAAGGGACCAAATACAAGTCTTTGTGCTTCATTTTCTTTCTCAAGGGTAGCAAGAGCATTTCATCATTGCTACGGGTCTTGACTGCTATTTGTGAAATGCTCTGAGATCTCAAGAATGCAACTATCTTATTTTATGATCAAAAACATGCTGTACAGTAAGGCATAACAGCACTAAAGTCTGTGTTTGCAGTATGCTTGCTTTGGTCTGCTGTGTGAAATCAGTAGATAGATGGATGTTTTCCAGCCCTGCAGCACCTCTTGAGGTTGTTCCTCATTTCAAACAAATGCATGTGTTTTGTTACATACCAGGAAGAGTTCAAACCCTCATCAAAAAGGATTTTAACTCACAACAGCTGTCAAATCAAGTCCATAAAATGGTAATTCAAGAATACATAATTGTCATTGGTTCTTACCCATATAGGGCTTTGTGCCAGCAATGGTGGTGACTTGTATTTCTTTAGTCAGCATCGTGGCAATATTGAAATCTGTGATGTGAACGTGTCCTGAAAGACAGAGGTTAATGTGTAACTTGACTTAATTTAATTTCACATGAGAAACAGCTTTGAATAGGAAACTTAAAGTAAAATACTCTATGGAAAGGAATTTACAGGAAAAAAAAAGATTCTAGTGGGAGAACTGATAGAAAATAGTTCAGCTTGCAGGCTGATTACAGATGTATCCTGTTACATCAAATATCTCCTTATTTACCCTTTGGAGAGCAAAAAAATATAGTTCTCCAAGAAGTCATTTAATGATGATTGTTTTGAATTGTCCTAAATTTGGGGGGAAAAGAGAACTGAAATTTTCTCACAGAAAAAATTCAACTATGTTTTTGGAAAAAAAAAAATCTTGGTATTTTTGGCTTCCTAGCTGCTTACCCTTCAGTGTTCCCAGTTACTAAATGCCCTCTCCGTTTTCCTCTTTAGAGGATGTCTCTGGAATGGAACAAAATACCTTTGGCAGCAAGCAAAAGAGCCTTGCACAAGAAATTCAAACATCATGAAAACCCACCTAAGGGTAGGAATGGTTTGTGCTATCACTGCTACAGTGTGCACAACTGCTGCCTGCAAACTGAAAAGGAAATGAGAGATGGATGTGATTTGCAGGGATGAGAAAGGAAATGCTTCCACCTAGCTTGCCTGCTCTTTTACTTGCACTTTTTTTTTTATTATTATCCTTATTCACAAAACTCATATCAGTGAGCATGTACTGCGGCACAGGTGGTCAATACAAGGCTGGCTTCACTGAAGTGAATTTCTTTGAAACTTGTGTGTTAGTTCAGCCTAATTCTTCTGACTAAATGCAGGCAGACTCTTCTTCCTGAGCTCATGCATCTTCTCCTCAGGCACTGAACTCGCTCATCCCTGACAAAGGTGAGCTCATTATCAAAAGCATCAGATGTTTTGTATGTTGTGTTTTGCAGACTCATCACCTTCCTCTGCAATAACAGAGGGTGGCTGAATTGCTGTTGTTTCCCCTAACCACAGAGACCAAATCAAAGTGGCTTTCTACTGCTGGAGATGCTATGACAACACTCCCCTCAGTCATTAGCTTCAACAGCTAGAAATTCACTGCTGCTTTAGTTCATGAGTTAAAATGGAATAAGATCACCTTGGTGCTTTGGTAATGAACTCCTGTTGTCTTGTCTGGATGCTATAAAACGTTTAAGTAAATCTTTACAATTTCACCTTTGTATTTGTTTTATGAGAACAGTGATACAAGTTTGCCTGCTGCAAGCATCTGATCTAGCTGGGAAAATCTGGGGAGTAAAAGAAAAATTTGTGATTTTACCTAAAAACACTGAATCATGTCCATTCTCCTGCTGGCGTCTCTTCAAGGACATGTGCAGTGTGTAAAGCACAGGAGCCTCTTCCCCACACCCTGTATTAGCCAGGGTGCAAAATGCCTCCTGGAGCAGGTGTACAACCACTTAACTTCCACCTCCATGTCAGCACCTGGTGAGCCTGAATAAATCCTTCAGCACCTCCCCATGAAGTTATCACCCAGCTTTTCAGCGATTTCACATTCCACCATCAGACTGCCTCGGGCAGGGAAAGGGCAGGTGGGACCTGTCTTTGCACCTGTGGGCTCACTGGGCTGCGAGTCTCATTGAGACACAGATTTCCTTATCAAATCTCGTGCTTGTCAGGCTTGAGTTTGAAGGAAGAAAGGAAAACTTGAGGTCCCTCTGGTGAACGTGGGCACTGCTGGGAGAACATAAGCGAGGTGTCGGGGCTCGCCTCTCACACGGTACCCGACTGATCTGCCAAGAGCACATCTTGCTGCTTACAACTGCCTTACAAAATCATCCAGGCCCACTCAAGAATGGGCATCAAATCGCTGGGGAGTACTTCAGAGAAAAGAATGAGTCTTGTCCTCTACATCCTTGCACTGTTTTTTCTTTCATCTCTAGATCTCATTCTGCTTTGCAGTGAGCTGTTTTTATAAATATGAATCATAAAGACTTATTAAGAATTTGATATTCCAAGCACAAGTGTGTCTTTCTCTGGATGCATCTTTTAAATGATTCACTTCAAGTAAATCACATGGTTTATAAACTAGCCCACCTGGGAAATTACCGAATCAAGCCAATGAGTCTGGGAAAGAAGGCTCAGGATGGTACGATGAGACTGAACAGCAACAGCAGTGTTACAGAACAGGGCGGACTGGATGACCAGGGATGGCAGCTACTGGTAACCGAGTGGGATGTGCCAGGTGTTGCTGCTGGGCTTTAGGGTCAAACTTTAAGGCTTGTGTTTTCCTGATTGCTCAGCATCTCTAACTGCAGTCAGATCCAAAACAGCACAACCAGAGCTGTACCGCGGTCACCGGCTCCTTCCCAAAGCTCATCCTGTCTGCCTGAAACTGGCACTTTCAGATCAAGCCTCTGGTTCTGCACTAAGGCAAATAATTTTCTTCTTATATTCAGCACCTCTGTTACTGCATAATTCCTTCACCTTTCTAGAGCATCTTTTGTGCAAAAAATATAAGACTTCTGCAGTTTCAACCAAAATAACATTTTAAAGAATATGAAACTTGAGACATTGGGAGATGTGGAGTATGGAGGCTCTTGGAGAGATTGCACCATAACTTTCTTATCTTAGATGAGAGAGCAAATGGACTGTGCGTGCAGTGCCTGCATTGGCATGAACTCACCCATTTTAGCACTGCCCTTGAGAACCTTTTGGCAGCAGTACAAGAAATAATACTGAGCAAAGCCACTCAGAGGGCTCTTGCAAAAAACCTCTCAGTTTTACTAGAGAGAAAATTGAGTTTTTCTTCAATTTTATTAGACAAATGACCTGGCCAAAAACTCCTGATGAATTAGTCACAATTCCTGGAAACCGCCATCTGTTATAGTCTTTAATTCAAAGGTGAGCTGTGCTGTCATTGAGCCAAATCAATAGACTTATCATTAAAGGAGGAAACCACTTTGCAGTTGGAATTACTGTTGAAGGTGGTCATCTGCTGAGGATTTTTTCATCATGGGACCTGATCCCAATCTCTAATATCGAACAACTGCTTTATTTATTGCACAGACAGACATTTGCCTGATATTCCATTTTATTTATGGCTCACTTTAATTTCTTAGCTGAAATTGATATGGTAATACAGATTGTCACCAATCAGGGTGACAGAGGCACACGCATAGGGTGTGTGTCAAGTTCATGAGAGTCAGCAGCAGGGCAACCCATTTCAATGTGTGGCAGCATGAGAGGCATTTATACTATCAAAAACTTGCACCAGCCTCCTACACAAAGACCAGATGATGTGAACAAGGGCTCCTGCAGTCCTGTCAGTGATTAACACCAGCAAAAGGGGTGCTGCAGTTTGTATCAGACCTGGGTGCCTTTCGATATGTAAGTCTGAAAGGGTGAAGGAGCCACAGCTGGAAGGGTAGTTCACAGCTGGAAGGGAAGATGGGACAAAAGGCAGAGTTAGGGGGCAAGAAGAGTCTAAGAAATGAAGGCCTGAAGGCTGATTGCTAAAGGTCTTCAGGTGTGCCATACTGTCACAGGACTGGTCTTAATCAAGAACAGTATAAAAAAAAAATTGATGTTAGCAAACAGCGTATGTTTTGTGATCACAGTTGTGAAAGCCTGGTGAAGGGAGAGGAGAGAGAATGGGGAGCTGCAGCTCCGTTCCACAGGGAAAGAGATACTGGGAAACAAGCACAATCTACTAGGCTAAATATAGATAAACACAGTACAATAACAGTTGCTCTGGGGACAAGAAAAAATTGAACTGTGTGTGCACAAAGCTTTCTGTATGCATGAGAGGACACACCTTTGCTGCCATGGATGAGGAAAATAAATACTGCAAGTCATAGTAAGCAGGACACTGAAGTGAAGGGTACATCCACAGAAACTAACTCTGAAACCACTACAACAGACAGTTAAAACATCACAGCGAGCAGAGAACAGTCTCAAAAATCAACCTAAATTGCAATGTCACGATAGAAGTTTGCAGGTTACGTCCTGATGCACTAAATGCAACTGCAGAGACAAGCAGAGCTTTTTCCCTCTTTGGGGAAGGCTGACCTACGTTTCCGTGGCTCTGGTGCTCCCAGCTCCCTCTCGGGTGGTTGTGTCACCCCAAGATGGTGACAGGTCACTCGAGAGTGTCCGCCGGCGAGGACTGACCGAACACGGCCCCGTGCCAGCCCCGCACAGCACTGGTGGGAGGGAGGACGGGTCTCTGCATCGGTCTGTGCATGGGGCAACTGCAGGAGACCTCCCGAGTGTGGCAGGAGAGGGGCTACGGCACTTGGAGGCAGAAGCAGCTTTGCTGACAGCTCCTAAATAAATAATTAGCTAGCACTCTGAAATTAGAGGTCATATGCAAAATGGGTAGAGTCTGGGCTCGGGCGCTGCCAGGCAACCCTGGTCACACACACAAGAGCCATGGTGATTCCTCGGAAGCTTCAGCATCTCTGTTACAGCCTCTGAAGTGATAATGAATTCAGATATGCCTTGTCCCTGCGCTGATGTTTTCTCTTTGAGTACCTTGTTGTAGTTGCTAATGAAGATTTCTCACAAGCCAGTTACACGGATTTTCAAAAAATATGACATGACAAAGTGTTTTTCTAATGAGTTAAAAGCTAATAAATATCAGACAATCCTTCACTGCGAGAGCTTTGCCAGGATAAAAAATAAATGTGTCTAAAGAGCAATATAAGAATACAGTTAGAGGTTTTTCCTGAAAAAAAGACTAAAGAAAAAATGATAGCAACTTTTATAATATGCCCAGCCCTCAATTCTCTTTGGAGCTCTCTCCCAATGTCAAATGCTCAAGGAAAAAGAAAATACCTAAATGAAGACTATCTATTCAGCCATAATCCATTCTGTTTGTGAGCATACATTACACACAAATTGCAATTACATGAGTATTTCCATTCAAATTATTACAATTTGAGTAAGTTTAAAGCAAGAGCTGAGGAAGTCTTAAACTAAGGTCTGCTAGACAGCTGACCACAAGCAGCACAAAATGCATCATCCCTGACAATGACTTCTAGGGACACCGTGAGGTCAGTGGGTCAGAGGAGATGTTGATTAAACACTAAGGCACCCCAGAAATACCGTGGCATCACAGGGTGCCCAGTGCCCTGAAGGTACAAGACACTGCTGCTCACAGAGCAGAGGACAGCAGCCAAAGCACGAAAGGATGGTCCCGTTCCTAACAGAACAGAGAGCGCGAAAACAACACAAAATTAGAGAAACAGCAAGCACCTAAACTTTAACTTGGATGTCCTGTTTCTGACTCTGCTTTTATGCACGTGCACGACCACAAAGCAACCGGCACTTACCGTGCTCATCCAGTAAAATGTTGTCGGGCTTGATGTCTCTGAGAAAAAAGGCAGAGAAAGGGAGACAGCCATTAGACTAGAAAAGTGGCAGGAAACATGGCTGCAGGCACTTGAGGAAAGCCCAGGCTCTGGAGGGACAGAGACATGGTGCCCTGGAAGGTGTCTCAGCTGGGGCTTGTCAGCTCTGATGTTCCTGCAGGGCTTGATTTAGGGATGAGAGAATGACTAATCAAACAACAAAAGCAGAAATGGTGGTACAGGGCTATGGCTGTGAAGGCTGCTGTGGTTTGGGCTAGTACCACTCAGGCAGTCCACCTACACTGTTAGAGATTCCTTTTATCTTTTTCCTCCTTTTACTTCTTAATCTGTTTCAGTACTATATTGAGAGCTGTTCCCCACTTACTCAGTAAAAATAAAATAATTTTAACATCTTTGCTCTAGAAACAAATGTGTTCCCCACAGGTTTTGTTCCTGAACTAAAAAAAAAAAAAAAAACCAAAAAAACCCAAAACGAAACAAACCCAAAAACCAAACCAAACCAAAATAATAATACCTATAGCAATGCCATAGGGAAATGCTTTCCATTGAAGGGAGGAGATGTACACCTGATATGCCTATTGTATCCACCTGAGTGACTCTACAAGACATTACCTGTTTTTAATGAGCTCATTACATCAGTCCCCATTCACCTGCTATCAGCCAGACACCTGGCAATTTAATGCCTCATAAGGAGGCTGCCACCCGAGCAACAACCCTGTCTCGTCCTGCTGCTTCCCATCAGGCCCAGGGTTCAAAGTGAAGAAATGAGCAGGCTTAGGATTTTAGCTTGAAAAATGCAATCACTAAGACAAAGTTTGAATTCACCTAGCCACCATCAAGAAGAAACAATATATCTAATTATCGTGTAGTTGCTTACAGTCTGGCATCTCCTCACTCAAACTACTTCAGTGGGTTATAAATACCAGTTACCTTCCTTGTGCCATTGCCCATACCACAGGGACAGGTGTCTTTATCAAGATAGTACTGGGCAGCTTCAGGCAAACCACTGGTTTTCCCTGTAAGTGCAGCAAAACTGTGCCGCAGGTTAGGGTCAAACAGTCCAGATGGTCAAAGCACTGTATTTGATAGCAAAAAAAAGTGATGCCACACTTGGTATTTTTGAGAGAACACTAATTTAAGCAAAAACTTTAAGAAATGTTTAGGCAAAAAGAGTTTGAAGCAAATGGATTCTTTGAATCCTTTGGCACAAAAATATTTTCAAAGTTTTGAAATTAACCATAAAGACAGGCTTTCGTTTCTCATCCAGTTTTCAACCTTTTTTTAATTATTATTTTTTTCACTTCCACTGGGGCCTTTTCTGATCTCACTCAGTCTGGTGTGCAGCCTGTAGAATTACACCAGCACAGTGAGATCATTCCCAGGATGCAAACAATGAACAGGGATAATTTTGTTTATTGATTACTTGCATGTTTATTTTTTATAACTGGTTATAGCATTTCCTAGCCTGAACAAATGAACAAATATTTCTCACTCTTCCACATGTAGGTGGGAAATAATTCCAGCCATCATTCTGCTTGCTGACTCTGCACAGCTTTTTTTCAGGCAAAATAAGCAATCACTTTTCCATCTCCTGATGTTCCCAATTACAGATGTTGCAGTGTAATTGACTCAGCTGAGTCACTTTATCAATCTAATACTGTCCCACTGGGCTACAGTGTTAATTAAGCAACTTGTGTTACAGAGTTAATTAAATAACTTACAAATTTTACAGACTGCCATACATGTTTTGTTGTACTCAGATCACCTTAAGCACGTATAGTTCCTTGGAACACACATCGCAGCCCAAACCTTAGCTTCTCCCGCCCATGTTTGCAAATAACCCTCTGGGGAATCCCCGCGGTTTTGCCCTTTGGCTGTCCTCGTGGTGCCCACCCTCGGCGATGTGGCTCGGAACGGGCCCCCAGCTCCTGTCACCACTGTGAGGAACGGCCGCCTCCTCTCGCAGGCTCGTTCTTACAGCATCGAATCGTGAAGAACCTCAAACCCCTTACTGCTACGAGCACCAACTGTAACACATTCCTAACAGGGCAGAATCTCTTCCCTGGGCTCCCCTCGCAGTTTGTCCAAGCCACGCCAGCAGCGTGAGGATTTACCCCTCGCTGCCCAGGACAGAGACAGCCGGGTCTGCATTTCACCATGTTTAATTCATGCTCATCCATTATTTGGTGCCGGTGAGCAGGTGCCGGGCGGAGAAGGCCGGCGGCGATGCCGTGTCGCAGAGCAGAGCCAAGCGGGACGGCTCGCCCAGGGCACGGGCGGCAGAGCGCGAGTCCATGCAGGTATAAAACAAAAGGAGTGGCAAGGAGGACGGGACTCCTGAAAAGAGGGAGCTCCCCCAGGAGGGCTGGCTCCGAGCGCAGCACTCGGGGCTATCGGAGCGGCGGAGGGCACGCCGAGCGCCAGCCTGTCCGCTTCCACTGCTCCGAAATGCCAGCCGAGAGCTGCAGACATGAACAAGCCTTAATCTTCATCAGCCCTTCAGCAGCGTGTTCCTTCCCCTGCTAACAACCAGGATCATTTAAATTTTAAATTTTGTACCATGCTTTATTTTTACACCTCACAAGAATGCTCTTCTGGAGTGGTGTTTATAAATAAGATAATCTTCTCCTTGCCTTTATTAACCCTCTATTAGTCCCTCCCTATCTATATCCCCTGTTAGCAGCTACTAAGTCAAAACCCTTGGACCCCCATGGTTTGCACTGCTCAGTACACCAGCAGGAAACAGCCGCGCGTCTGTCCATCCAGAGCCAAACCCTGCCTCCCCAACCATGGAAAAGCTCTACCTCTGTTATTTTGCAGGTCTTTGAATGCGTGGGAGGAGCTCAAATACTTTTTCACTAGCCATGAAAAATCTTGGTGGCCAAAAAGAAACTCTCACCACTTCTAGAAAGGGATTTAACCTCATAAAGAAAAAAAGCTGTGTTTGTTCCCATTCTTGTCCTTCAGTGTGATACAGAGAGGGGAGCAAAAGGGAGACACCTTCAAGTGTGACAGCAGAGGAATTCTGAATGCTGACACCTACCCTCCCTGGACCAGGATGGGTATTAATGAGCTACGGCTAATTAAACATATTAGAGACAGCTTTTTGCAGGATCAGCAAACAAATCCAATATGCTATATCACAGCTATCCCAGTGGGAGAAATAGGATGCTCTCTGTTGTATATGAAATGCTTTTCCCTGGGAAGCCTAGTGTTTTACATAAAAGCAAACGTATGTGGGAGAATACTTTGCTTGGGTCTTAAGCTTCTATTTGTCCTTTCATGTCAAAGAGGAACAAGTCTGCCCCTACTCCAGTCTACAAGCATCAGTCCAGCTATGTGGTCCCCAGCTGACCTGTGGATGATGTGCCTGCTCTGGAGATAGTCAAGGGCCAGCACCAGCTCACAGATGAAGAGTTTCACGGTGCCTTCTTGGAACCGCACGTTTTGTTGGAGATGGTAACGCAGGTCCCCTCCAAGCAGCAGGTCTACAACCATAAACATATCTTCTTCATCCTGGAACGAGTACCTAAAATGGCATAAGCATGGTTCAAGGATGATAATATTGAAAAAAGAGAGGTTATAAAGGGATACATGGTACCTTTGGGAACAGTCATAATTTCTTGGATTTTTTCACTCATGCAAGAATAATTTCATGACCTTTCCATGCTCCATTTCCCAGTGCAACTAAACTCCTATTGCCATACTTGAGATGACAATAATTTAGCTTCAGAACCATAAGAGAGTCAGAACAGCTTGTATGAACAACCATCAGCAGGCCCACTAGAAGAACAGGAACCCCAATGTTTTTACACTGAACTTGTTACTATCCGTCACTTCAAAAATAAAGCCACATCCAAACCTCCCCAAACCCATCGCTCTAACACAGTTTGCTGCTAATTTCCTCCTGCTAAGGGTTGTGAAGGGAGATGGACAGGAGTCTGGCAGGCAGGCACAGCTCTCAGGTGTGTTTATCGTGGGATACAAGCAGCGGTGACTGACAGCACAGACCAGAAAGGGCCTGGGAGGTGCCAACCATGCATTTTTATTTGGGGGAGGACTTCATACTAATATTTGCTTATTGCTTGCTTCCTGAACCACTGGGCAGCATGCACCGGCTTCGTCTGCTCAGCAGTCAACAGCTGGTGCCCGTGGCTGCGAGCTAATGAAACATTTCCACTTAGGACATGTGAGGAGGGAGACATGGACCTGCTCAAGTGGGGCCAGAGGAGGCCACGAAGATGCTCGGGGGGCTGGAGCAGCTCCCCTGGGAGGCCAGGCTGAGAGCTGGGGGGGTTCAGCCTGGAGAAGAGAAGGCTCCGGGGAGACCTTCGAGCAGCCTCCCAGGGCTTAAAGGGGGGACAGGAGAGGTGTGGGGGGGAACTCCTGATCAGGGGGTGGGAATAGGATGTGGGGTAGCAGTTTAAACTAAAGGAGAGTAGATATAAATTAGGTATAAGGCAGAAATTCTCCCCTGTGCAGGGGGTGAGGCGCTGGCCCAGGGTACCCAGAGCAGCTGTGGCTGCCCCCTCCCTGGAAGGGTTCAAGGCCAGGTTGGACGGGGCTGGGAGCACCCTGGGCTGGGGGAAGGGGGCCCTGCCCAGGGCAGGGGAGTGGGACTGGATGGGCTTTAAGGCCCCTTCCAACCCAAACCAGTCTATGATTGTGTCCTCTCCAAGCACGAAAGGGAACTGACCACAGGAGCAAGGCAGAGAGGAGCCCTAAGCCAGCACCCAGAGCCCTGCCCAGACTCACAGCCAGCAGATTGTGTACCAGAGGCACTCATAACTGGGCTCTGGTTCTCCTGGCAGGAGCCTGTTAATAAACTCATTTTCTCAGCACAACAGGGGATGCAACTGCTATCTGCCATTCCTCTTTAAGTGACCTCATTTGGTGCAACTGTTTACCAAGTGTTGCTTTGAGACAGTCTAACAATCAGCTATGAGCTTTTTTTCTCATGGATTTTCTTACTAATATACCAGCTTCTTGATGTGATGAGCAGCACCATGAATCAGAACATTACTCTACACAAAACTTGTGGTCCATGTATCATTCAGAGTACAGGAAAGCTAAAGGCTATACCCAAGGCCAAGGATGACATGTTAAGAACAGAAGCAGGGAAACTCAGATGATTTGCTCTGTAAAAGTCTACACATATGTACATGCTGTTTAGTACTCAGGTGCTGAGTGAGTTTTGCCTGGAACTTCTCATTCAAGTAGGAAAGCAAAGTCTGGATGTATGTCCAAAGCTCTTGGGGGTCCAGATGCACGGCTCTCATTCATACCCTAGTTAGAACAACACTGAATGGCAATACCATCAAAATCATGAGAGCTCACCTAACAGCACTCAAGTTACAAGGGATCTCAAAAAGGAACACAAGTTATTTGAAGATTTGTGATCTTCAATGTGTTTTAGTCTCAATTTTTGTGTTTGACATTGATAAATTCTATCTCATTCTGAAAATAAATCCAATATTCAATAAATGTACTTACCCACCACCCCAAAGGAATCCTATAACTACAGGATATTGACCACTCCATCATGTGGTGTATGAGACAACACCACTTGACATGTTACTGGTGTCCTAATAAAATTAACCTGTCAGACTCTAACAGTAATAGAGTTTTATTTACAATTCCTTTCTACTGCCCCACTGCAGGAAAACATGATGAATCAAACAAAGGGGGAAGAATTAGTGCGTCTTTTATTGCTCAGCTGGTCAATCCCATTGCTAATGGTTGAAAAAGGACTATAACCAGTGCACATAGCTTGCATTTATCTGGTACTCTTAAAGGATAAAACTCCTTTATGTACACATTTCCCAAATTGACATATGGGTTTCTCCAGTAAAATTTGAATGGTATTATTTTTCTGTCAGTAAATTCAACGATAAATTGCTTTTATTTTTGCTGAATAGCGTCAATTCAGTCCAATATCAATAAGGTATTAAGGCAGGCTGTTTAAAGTACAAAATAAACCACAAAATCACAATCAGAAGAAAGCACTGCCAAGGGAAACCCTGCTCACAGAGCACTGCTTGGCTATCGGTCCCACGCTGTTACTATGTGGTCCTGGGAGCTGCTGTTTGTTGCAGAAGAGCACTATTAAATAAAACTGGGTTATGGTAATGAGCAATACCTGCCTAGCAGGAAACCACAAGGGCACACACGAATGAACTCGATTGTGCTTGTTGGGGGAACAAGGGAGATAACTTCTTGTTTAATTAAACAAGATTCCCCTGAAACCAGAGCCCCGGTCAGTGGAACAGACAAGGAGCCCCGCCAGCTCCAGCGAAGGAACACGTCCCAGCCTGGAGCGCACGCCCGCGCGTTCTCCAGACCCGTTGCTGCCAGACCGTGCCGCTTGCCCCACGGCCGGTTTGTGCCAGGCCCACGGCCAGTCCGTGACAGTCCATACCAGCCCCGCGGCCAGTCCGTGCCAGCCCCACGGCCAGTCCGTGCCAGTCCATACCAGCCCCACGGCCAGTCCGTGCCAGTCCATACCAGCCCCACGGCCAGTCCGTGCCAGTCTGTGCCAGCCCTGCGGCCAGTCCCGTGACCAGTCCGTGCCAGCCCCGTGGCCAGTCCATGCCAGCCTGTTCCAGCCCTGCGGCCAGTCCATGCCAATCCATACCAGCCCCATGGCCAGTCCGTGACAGTCCGTGCCAGCCCCGTAGCCAGTCCGTGCCAGCCCCGTGGCCAGTACGTCCCAGTCCGTGCCAGCCCTGCGGCCAGTCCGTGCCAGCCTGTGCCAGCCCTGCGGCCAGTCCCACGGCCAGTCCGTGCCAGCCCCGTGGCCAGTCCGTGCCAGTCCGTGCCAGCCCTGCGGCCAGTCCCACGGCCAGTCCGTGCCAGCCCCGTGGCCAGTCCGTGCCAGCCCCGTGGCCAGTCCGTGCCAGTCCGTGCCAGCCCTGTGGCCAGTCCCACGGCCAGTCCGTGCCAGCCCCGTGGCCAGTCCGTGCCAGCCCCGTGGCCAGTCCGTGCCAGCCTGTGCCAGCCCTGCGGCCAGTCCATGCCAGCCCACCCGCTGCTGGTAAGTCACTCTGGCCCAGCACCCATCACCCCACGGGTGGCAACGCACCCACCGCTGCCCACGTGGGCTCTGGTGGAACCGGGGGCCAGGCTGGTCTCAGAGAGGTCTCTGACAGGCAACGCTGACTGAGCCAGTAAGAAAGGAGCGGTATCTTACCATAAATTAACTAGGAAGGGGTGCTCCAGGCCCTGCATAATCTGCAGCTCCTTGAAAACATTTCTCACTTCATTACGCTCCACGCACTTTTGTTTATTCATGTATTTCATGGCGTACATCTTCTTGGTGTCATTTTTCTGCACAACACAGACCTGAGTGAGCAAATCGAGGGATAAATCAGGGATGATTTGTCAGTAAATTTAGGCAGGCAAAACAGTCACACAGGCGTTCTCCGGTTCCTTTAGCCTCCAAGTCCACGCTGCCAAGTCACAACTCCATTTACTGATGCGGCAACATTGGACATGGCCAGTAAATCTCTCACTCAGTTTTCAGCCAAAGAAGAGGAAAATTTGCTGGGGGGAAGGTGAGGAGAAGGAATTTATCACCACAAAGATAGGAAATTGAGAATCGCACACGAGTCAACATTTTATTTAATAGCACTAACTAATTTTGGCAGTGTCTGTCCCTCCCACATCAGTTACTATTTGGAAGAGCCCTTTCCACCACAGAACTACAGGTTAGAAATTGGGGAGCAGCTCCTGATCCCCCCTTTCTTGATGAATATTCAGCTTAGAATGAACCTTGGGCTTTGAGGGGTATTAGGGCTTGAATTTTAACCTTTCTCATATTTCATCAAATTTAGAAAGAAACACTGCTTCAATGAAAGACTTTGAGTTTGTAAGAGCACAAACCAAAACAGACTGGTTTCCCAGATTTGTTTCCATAGCAGTTTATGAGTTTGGGATGAATTTGCAGAGTTTCAGTCGACCTTTTTTGTTTCACCACCAAATAAATCTTTGTCCAGAGATTTTTGTTATACTTGACACCTAAGGCATACCTCATTCCTGGCATGAGTGTGCCTTTACATGAACGGGCAAATGATCTTCTAGAATCCTGCTAGCATATACCAGTGGGGAATTCTATAACAGCATAAAAATAAAATATATGACCATAATCTGGTGTTTAATACCAAACACCGTGTTTCACAGAGAAACATTATTTTTTTAAAATTGCCAGGCCTTTCACGTTGATTGCAGGTTTTTATTAAAAATGCATCATGATGTTCAGTGTTGATTTGCTGGGAGATCTTAGAAAATATTTATCCAGAAACATAATGAAATTCAGCTCATTTGATTTATCAGTTTCTCATTTTAATCTCCTGTAATATAATTTGTGGCTATGGAATGGATGAGGAATCAGGCTCTGATTCCTTCTTGATTACCAGGAGTTGAAACTCAGGTCAAATCTCACTGACAATGCAGGGGTTTATTTCTTTACTCTCATGTGAGCCTTTAATTCACCCATTTTTCTATCAGTTACGTTTCCAGCTGTCCAAGTGGTGATTAGTTCACAAATTACTTACTTTTCCGAAGCTGCCCTTCCCAATAGCTCGCAAAATTTCAAAATGGTCGAAGGTGACTGCAAGAAAGAGCAAACATTCAAATATTAAACAGCTGAGCAAATGTTTGATGATATTACTTTATTTCTACTTTTTCTTCGTAAGATAAGAATGGAGAAAAACAAGAATACTCTAGCAACTTTCTGATGCTTTTGGAGATTTGGGTGCTGTGTAAAACTTGGTGTTTAACAGACTTTTTTTCTTTGCAGCTCAGCTGCAAGGGCAAGTTCACTGGGTCAGCCTTTTTCAATGGCAGATCAGGCAAGGAACCATCAAGTGAATGTTTTAAATCTGCCCTGCCTGTGCAATATGAAAGCCACATCTTGTTCCAGCCAAAACCAAACGCAAGGAAGTTTAGTCCATCAAACATCCATGTGGAGATGTAAGTGGGCAGCTGGATCTTCATATCCTTGTGGTATTCCAGACAATGGCTGGATAACTGTGCAAGATAAACGCAGCAACCCTGGCTGCAAGCTTTGCTGCCACTCAGCATGCAGAATGGCTGATTCTGCTCAGAAGGGAAACAGAAGAGCAGCAGCTTTGCAGACTGTGCATGGAAACGGGGAGGGAGGAGCGTGAACATGCATTTCACTTCACCTTCTGGCCTCCGGCTGGAGACGGGGCTGGGAGGTGGACATCTGCACAGCAAAGGAGAACGCTGCGTCAAGTGCTAATCTGAAGGACCCTACAAACCAAGTGTTTCTGATCAGCCAGGATGAAGCTGCCTGTGTTTCATCACAGGCAATAAACAGATCCAGAGAAACAGCAAATCAAATTACCGTACAGCAAACGCAGGGTAACCGCACTGGTTCAAAGCCTGCTGCCGGTTTCTGGATAAGGCTCCATAGCAATGACTACCGAGTTGAATGCTCTGAATGCTGCTAACGCTTCTCCAAGATGCTGGTGCAGCAGTGCTGTGCCCATCAGCTGTGGGCTCAGGGACCTGCTCCTTCACCAGCCACCGCCGGCTGAACCAGACGGCACCGAGAGACCCATCCAAGGCATCAGAGAAAGGCCTCTGACAGATTTATAACCGCTCATCAGTTTTCATTAGTGTGACCCCTGGAACTGAGAGATACCGTCAATGCAATGGGCTTGAAATCCCAGTTCCTTTGCCTCGTGCTGCTCGTTTCCCCGCTGGCAGAAGCAACTGGACCGTGCAGCTGGAGTCAGGGCTGTGGCACCAGTGGGGCCATGAGAGAGGGCTGTGTGTCCCCCCCGCCCCAAGGGCCACGGGACTGTGGGAACAACAAGTCCACCTCTGCCTCGCATGCCCTGTGGCACCCTCCATTCCCTGCTGAGGCCGACCACCACCAGCTAGTTTAACAACCGTCTCAGAAGACAAATGGCTGCACTTTTCTCGGTGCCGTGGGCAGGTTCAGCTCTCAAACACCCCTCCTTTGTAACCCCCAACCTCCCTTAGAAGGCCTGCCTTGGGACTATTACCATCGTTACCCTCTGCTAGCACAAACAGTGGGGTGTTCTGCCACCAAACAAGACTTCATGCCACCTCCAGCACTTTGCTAAACAAGAGGAAAACTTCAAGGCCTCTTTCCCTTTCAGCTTCGAGCAAAATGAGAACGAAAACGCTTGCTGCACAAAGAAACAGGGCTATGCCTGCACTCATCTGCTGACAGCATCCTCGGGTACCTGCAGGTGCCCTTCCAGCCGCAGTCTGGAGCTCCAGGCTGTGCTACCAACGCTGACCCGGCACTCGCTGCCGATGGTGCCGGCTCTAAGCCATGTCTTGCATGAAAGCCCTGCCCAGTAGCTCCATCAGGTGCCACTGGTGCTGCCGCTCAGGCTGACCTGAAATACTTCAATCACATTCGCACCATCCCCGAGCAGATGGGGCTGAGCGAGCCAAGCCAGCCGGCCCCTCGCTCGGCTGCAGCCGCTCTGGCTCGGGCGAGCTGGAGGATTGGGCTGTAGCCTGCTCGGGTCTCCCCAGACAACTCTTACTGTAACAGAGAGCTGGGACATACACGGGCTCCGGCAGTGTCAGGCACTAAAGCCAGTACTGGGCCCACGCACCAAGTGTCCTGTCAACTGGGGAGTGAAGCAGTGCAGTCAGTCTGAAGTCTTGTTTTCACAGAAACACTGGTGTGTGAGCAACTTGGGCTTCAGACTTTCCCTCTTTGTGCTTTCTGAGGCCACAAGTTGTCTTGAAAAGCGCAGCTCTCAACATAATTGCCACCTGCTGCTTTCTTCATTAACTGAACTGAATGGCACAGAAACCAAGAGGATTTTGTCCCAGAAGTTTTTCACTGGATGAGATTGCCAGCAAGGAAGCTGCCACAGCAACAGACGAATCCTCCTCATTACAGACTTGTGCATGATACTGCTCAAAAATAAATCCATTTTCTTCAACACATCCTGCCTTTGAACTAATACCAGGATAACAGGACAGACAGTTAATAGATCCTTGCCACCACACAACTACAGGAATGTGTACTCATACTTTGCTAGGGGATTTTTTTTTGTTGTTATGCAATGCATGTATTTTCCAAAGAAATTAACTGGGCAGACTGGGTTTCATTCAACGTAAAATGATGCATGAGGGTTACCAAACTGCATCAGCCATATGGTCCACTGAGCCTGCCCAAGCCTCCTCCAAAAAAAAAGGCTGAAAACAGCCACTGGGTAACCCATTCTCAGAATATATTTTTAGAACAGGCACACTAAATTTAAAAATTCGTCCTTTTCATTGCCATTATCTTTTCAGGTAGGATGTCACAATCTAAACAAAGCGAAGTTTTTGGTTTCCAGCTACAGCACTTGAAAAAAAGACCAGCTTTTATGCACAGAAGCCCTTTTTCAAACCTGGAACAACAGCCGCAAATATCAGAGCTAAATACAGGTTGACAACAATTGAGTTTAACTAGATCTGTTTACCACTTAGACCATCCAAGTGAAGGGTAGTGGATACCTGCAGAATAAAAAGGGAGAGTGAAGATGCTTATCTCCCGCAGGGAGAAATAAGAGGGGAAAGAAACCCTCTGTGCCTGCTACGGAGAGAGGTTAGCTGCAGGAGCTACGTGCCGCACAACGCAGCCCAGGGCTGCAGGCAGAGGGGAGCCTCGGGCCCCAGGCACTGGGACCCCGCACGGGGCTCTGCAAGAAGGGGGGAAGACACAAAACGCAGGGGTCCAGCCAGACATGAACATCTGGGCCAGCTGCAAACGCAGAGGAGCTACGCCAGCAGCCAGATTTTGCATGTTCACACCTTCTATCTCTACTGTCTTCTAACAGGAATGCTTTCATGAACATGTTAACACCCTCTACCTCCTTTGTCTTTTATATTAATATCTTCATTAACATTTTAAACATGAGTCTATAACTGAGCTGGTCGTAAGAAAGTTAAATTGCATACTTTTTATTTAAGACTCTCAAACTAGGTATGATCACATTTTAACGTCTCTCGGTTTCAGTTTTCCTACCATCCCTAGTTTTCACAGTAAGCCGATCCAGAGTCTCACTTCCAAAGAATACTGAAATTTGTGGTGTCCAAATCAGGAACCAAACCCATGCTCTTCATCCCGAATTCACCTCTATAGATTTGACAAGCCTCATTTCTCTGCCTGATGGAATCTAAAACAATGAAAAAAACAAGGCATTTGCCCTTCAGAGAGAAAATTCATGTGATATGCCAACTCAGTCGGATTATGTTTAAGAGATGCCAAGGAAGATAATACAATTGCTGTAAAGAATCAACTGAAGCATAAGAACCAAATACCATTTTGATAGCAGGGGTTGTATTTCTAAACCGATTGAAGGAACAATATCTAGCTAAAAAAACCACAGAACCTAACCAGCCGCAAAAAAACATCCTTATCAGAGACAAATCAACCCTGCCAAAGCCCCCCAGACTCCAACTGCCAAGTGGAGCTCAATGCTTTGGGGGGCTCAGGTCCTCCCATCCCTGCTGCCCACCCCAGTACAGCTAGCACAACACCGCACCATCTGTTATGACTCGACTTCCTTTTGTCACTGTAATTTCCCCCTTTTTCATTATATTCCCTCCATTCTCTGCTCTGCGGCCTCAGGAAAACAAGTGCTACCACAGGATCATGAATGATAATGCAAGTCCCTCCATAAGGGAGGGCTGAACTCAGCACAGATCCCAACAGAGGAACAAAGATACGTCTAATGCTCTTCTGAGTCCCGGGGCAATTTAAAGATCAAACAGCTGATGATGGGCTAGAGAGGACACTGGCAAAAGACCACAGAATGATGTATGACCATCTCACCCAGCCGTTGTCCTTACTTACTATCTATTTCTGCTTTATCTTCCAAGAGATTTGGCCAGCTGGGGAGAATATCTAGCTGCCATCCTCTGCGATGCCCTCCGTACCCTTTTGCCCAGAAGCAGCACAAACAAAATCTGGCTTTTAACATGGTCTCATCCCAGCTACACTGGGAGTTGAGATCACTTTGCAGCACTCAACCTTCTGTCTGGTTATTACATTTTCTTTTCATCTCGCTGGCTTATCATCCACCACTGTGCCTACTCAGAGGAAATGCTGAGAGGAAAATAATAGTCATCCCACTTCAGCCAAAGGCAAACAAAGCCCCTTTGAAAAGTCCATCTAAAAAAAAAAAAAAAAAAAAAAAAAAAAATTAAAATCATGGTGCCACAGAAAATAGTCAAAGTATAGCAACTGTAATTTGGAAACGTATGTAAGAGGTGCTAGGACTATGTGTGCATATCAAAGGACGACGGGCGCCTGAGCGAGGTGTGGGTCCTGCTGCCCTGTCCTGTGCCGCCTGCCTCCGCTCCACGCAGAGAACGGCCGGGCTGTGGGGGGAGAGGGCAGCCTACTGCCGAAAGAGAAGGGAAGGGAGGCACGGGATGGTGAAGTAATTTGCCCATGACCATTCAGAAAACCGTGCCACAGTATAAAACCAGATGTTTTCACCCTGGAGTCAGCTCCTTAACAACCCTGTTTTGCAAAAGGTTTCACCTTGTTGCAACTGCCTGAGTATTCTTCAAGAATTTTTTTTTTTTTTGGTTGTTAAGAAAATTGAGAGATAATGAGAGAAATGAAATGACTGAACGCTATAGCAGGGGTCTCTGAGAAGCAGACCCAATTCCTGGGTGCAGTGGCAAAACGCTCGCTGGATGGGGCCGTTCCCTGCTCCCACCTGCCCCAGCACTGTCCCCAGCGAGCAGCATCTGGCAGAGCTCGGCACGGAACTGCCAGGGGTGGCACTGGGGCTGTGAAGACTCGCACCACTCACACTATTGCTGTTTATAGCTACTTTCCAAAGGGAAAGTGTCCCTACAACACAGCCAGAGAGGCGGGACGGCTCTTCACCGGCCGCAGCCCAGTGTCACGGAGCAGAAGAGCCATTGTGCTGCTTCCTGCTGTACCCAGCAGCTCTTAACTCGTCTCAATTTTATCTGAATCTAGAATAAGGACAAGATTGTCGCATCTAGGGTGATACTGTCTCTGGTCACAAATCTACCAAGATAATGGAAAAGTTAATAGGGGACATCCCCATTTCAGCTGGGTTTCTCCCCCCCCCCCCCCCCCCCCAGTATGTTAAAATATGACTAGTTAAGAAAAAATACACTACCACTTTTTAAATTTGGGCAGGGCCATGAAAACACGACTGCACCGGTCTGGACACTGTATCTGGGTGCAAGCCTGACCCCCGAACCTACTGAAACTCAACACTGAACCACCTGAGATGGCCAGGACTGAGCCTTTCCCTTGACTTGCCGGCATGACACACAAACGCACCGAGCATGGGGTATGGCATTTCACACTTGAAAAGCCCAGTGCCCTTTGCCACAGAGCTAATAGGGGCTTCACATACTGTCAGGTTTTATTTGCCGAAACCAAGCCCTTTCCAAGCTCAGAACTGGCTCTCATAAGAAATTACCTGTCTGAGAAAATTTACTGTCCCAAGTACAGTCACCCTGCACAGGTCACTGCACTGCCCAGGGTATTATTTATCTGTCAGTCACAGGAGCCAATACCGCACCAAGCATGTCAAATCCAGAGAAAGACTCAGCAGAGAGACCAGCCACCCCAAGGAAAATTCAATTTGTTACAGCCATTCTCACAGCCAGGACTATCACCCCAAGGAAGGTGATCAGGAACATGAAAAGTACTAGTTGTTCTGGGCTAGCACAAGTAGATACTTATGAGAGATGCTAATAATGAGCATTTAGATGCACCAAGAATAAATTCTCCAGGAAAACCTCACAGCACAGATTTCTTTTGCACTGAAGCAACTGGGGGAAAAAAAAAATATGAAAACAAACAAAAAACAAAACAAACAAACAAAAAAATCACAATTGCATTAATAATTTGGGAATCACAGCCGATTTAGCCAAACAGCCATGCACACGCAGCTGGCATTGCGAGCGCAGCAGCGCAGAGTGTGAGGTTGGAGCAATTCGCCGGCTCCCTTTGTGCCTGGAGGGTGGCGGCAGCAAACTCAGACCCCAAAGTGCAAAATCTTCCCTGCGGGATGACAAACTGAGACGCACAGGGAAGGTCTGGATCAGGGAAGGGTGGTTTGGGATGGCGGGGGGAACACGCTGCTGTGCAGAATGACTTTTCCCTTCCAGCAGCTGCGGCATCGGCATCTGCACAAGAAAACCAAACAGCGGGAGAGCCACAGCCTGGGGCAGGAGGCTCCTGTGCCACGAGCACTAAGGGCACTACTCGGGATATAACCACTGCAGGTCCAGAACAAAACTGCATTCTTCTTCAAGACCTCTTTCCTCAAGGAGCTGAGTGAGAAAGACCAGGTTTGGGCCAGTATCCCCTCCTTTTCCCCTTATGTCCCCAGTAGTCAGGATTAATCCTCCCTGACTGGAGTTCTTATATTTGGGACAGCACTTTACAAGTTATCTAAGTTCTTGTATATTTTATTTTTATGTATTTGTATTTATCTACATATGCATTTTACTAGGTGAAATGCATACCTAGGTGAAAGCCCATATGGCATTTAGCAATCTGACTCATGCAATAGTAAATATATTTATGGAATAACCTTTTAATGACTGTCTCTGTAATCTTGGCAGCACAGTGACACAGGCCCCCAGTACTGCTCTCAGCAGTGTATTCTCTTCCAGCAGACTGAGCCCGCATGCTGCTCTCCCAGTGCTGAGGGGTAGAGCTGCCCAGCTGGGGAGTCCCCAGGAGCCCCCGCTGCTGGTGACCAGGCCTCTCCCAGTGACCCTCCCACCAAGCCCAAAGCAGGGATGGGAAACACGCATCACTCAGGCTATCTTCCCACCACACTTCATGCCAGTCCCTGTGCTGCAATCTCCAGAACAAAACTCCCCTGCCTCCAGAACAGCAGCATTTCCTCCCTGCCATCGAAGCGCCCGGCAGTGTCCCAGAGGCATCTCAAAACCAAACCTCTGCCAACAGTTACTCTCCCGGTGCCTGGCTGCAGAGAGGGGAGGCGAAAGGACCACTGGGCACCCGACCACAGCTCTGCAGGAGACCAAAGGCACGCTGCTGCTGCTGCTGCTGCTGCTGTTCTTGCCCTTGACACACCTTGACCTAACCGAGATGTCCGGGTGTTTGCAACCCCAGCCTGGGAGCTGGTGGTGACTCTCAGTCTCTGCACTGGTGGACTTTGCAGTCTCAGACAACAACTAGGAAAAAACTCTTACCATCTTCGTTTTCATTGAAGGGTGGTGCCTTGCTGGAGGTGTTCGCTCCCATCGTGTGTTCCGCCCGGCTCAGCTCTGTCCTCCCCGTTGTGTTACCACCCTTAAAGCCGGTGTTACCCACGGGTCACTCCCAGCAGACCTGTGCAACGTTCTGCTTGGGCATCCTGAAGAAGGCAGGAGGCAAAAATTCACCATCATTCAGGATTAAGAAGCATTTTGCAACTGGCAAATTCATCACTGGAGGGTCACTGCTCTGGAGACAAAACTGAGTATCAGGGGAAAAGCACATTCTAATGGCGTTTACTAGAGAAACCCAGTGACATCATAACCTTGTACCTTAGACCAGGACTGCTGCCCACTAAGGGAAGTGTAGAAACAGAACAAAAGATCTGAGGATCTGGCTCATGTTTGATGTATCATCTGACATATTATATTTTGTAGCTTCAGTGATGACTAATTGTAGCAAGGTCAATATCCAAAATAAATGGATGTAGTGACTTGGCTATATAAAATCAGAAAGGCACTTTTGACTACTAAGGTCATGTGGAAATGTAAAAGCTATCTAAGATGAAATTCAGAGAGTCAAAATTTGATTTAAGCTGTTACAGAAGCCTTTCATTTGTGACAAAATCATACCTTTTTTAAAAAAAAAAAAATATTTTATGGAAAATCAAGGTGTAGTTTCCATTCAGCTTCTTCAGAAAAAAATTTGGATATAACTATGATCAAAGCAGAAACCTTTCTGATTTATGGTTCAGTGCTGGCTGCAGTGACTGGTTTTCCTCTTACACTGTGGAAGGGCAGCTCTGTTTATTAGCAGACAACACAGGTTTTAATTTTCCAATCCTCCCCTGAACATGTATGTGTATACTGGAGTATGATGCTATATAGTTTAGTGACACTCAAGATAGCTTGAACATTCTTATATGGATACATTGGCAGTTTTGTTTTTAAAGCATTTACATGTAAAGCACCTTTATATGCTTATTTTGATACTGACATCCATGTGAAACAGACATTTATTTCCTGTTGGATGTACAAAACCCTAAAAGAATAAAATGAGGGAGTAACAGTGCAGCACAACTGGGACTTTGCCCAGTCTGGAGCATTCTCCAGGGCAGTCATATTTTCTTTGAATGTTTAAGGATGCAATTCAGCCTTATTTATTTTTCTCAGATCTACACTCTGGAAACACAGCTACTGAACAGCTTCACTTTTTTACTTTAAAGTAATAACATCATGGTATTTAAAGAATCATTTAAAAATGTTGGAAGAAAGAGAATTACTGGGACAGTCTTGGGATCTGGGGCTCCCATCCAATGCTGTGGGTTCCCTGCACCAGCACACTCAGCTCCTTCTCTCCAGCTAATTTTATCTCCACCACTCAGCCAAGAACTCAGCTCTAACTTCACGCCCTGGGTCAAGACAATTACTTACAAGCAAGTGCCAAAGCTTGCCTGAAGTTTAAAAACAACACCTATATTTGAGTGTCTTCCTGAACGGGGCTGCAGTGATGTAAAATTCATCCCCAATATGACAACCCTGGGAATCCAACTGTGGATCAAACTGCAGCAGCTGCCAAAGCATCTCATGGTTGACTGCAATGGTATCCATCATCCCCATGGCAGCCGGAGTTGAGAGGTCTCCCAGCACCCCCCAGAGCCTCTCCCAGCACCACCAAGAGGCATCCAGAACAGACCAGAGGCAGCATATGAGGCACTCTACAAGGCGTTTTATAATCTCAGCTGCAACCCACCCACGCTGCTGCTGTGGTTCACAGAGATCTCACTAACCCCAGCAAAGAGCAGGGGAGTCTCCCAAAAGGCCAAAAAGAAGACACACCAGTACCTCTTTTCAAACCCCAAAACTCACTCTTCAGAGGAAAAATACACCTTCAGATTAATAGCCATAAATCAGGTTCGCATATTGATGCTTCTACATCACAGTGATCTTATTGGTGTCAACCAAGGTCAGCTGCTCAAGGAAATTTTCTTGTACGGGAGTGTGTAGCTTATTTTATTTCTGACAGTACATCAATACATAAAAGCTATGAGGAAGGAGCACAGGCATTCCTTGAAAAGGAATAAACTAATCTGAGTAATAATTGCTAGGACTTGTGTCTTTATAAAGAGTACCCAGGGTATAGTTATGATACATCTTTTCCTTTTTCCCACTGCAAAGTCACAAAATTATTAAAATCATTACTTTCTCTTGGGCCAAGAAAGGTAATGCTTCCACGTTATCCCTGTACTCGGTCAGACCATTCATTGTTCCACGAGCAGCGTGGCAGCAGCTCCACTCCTCAGTGGTCCCAGGGTCTCCCCAGTTGGTCTGGCAGCCACAGTGGAAATTTTCCAGCCGCGGGGAAGCAGCTGCCTGGGTATGTGCAGGCTCCCACCTCCAGAGCCGGGCAGCACATGTTCATGTTGCCAAGCATATTTTATCCTCAACAGATAAATGTAAAACCAAAGCAAAGCAGGGGAAATGTAACCACTTGAGTGCCACTGCCAGGGTTTTACACTCACACTGCAAGCAGGCTGTGCTCTCTAATGAGGAAAAAAGAGCTTGGCAGGACTAAGGAAAGGCTTAGGCTTTTACACAAAAGGTGAGCAGCTAGTTGCATTGTTAGAATTATCATTGATGGGTGACTACTGAGCTTCCTCGGAAGAGGACCACTAACTCGGAGGGGTCCACAATTAGTTTCTCTTACCACCTTTTAATTGCTTAAGTACTGCTGCTGTGCTGTTGAACAACTGAAACCGGGCAGTAAGACAGCAGTACAGGACATTACCCTACCGCTTTTGTCCCAGAGAATCTCAAGATGATGTGAAACTCTTCCGCAGCCACAGCGAAGTTCGGGAAGGGCGAGAGCCCGTATTATTCGGTGTCACCTTCGGCTCTGGCCTGCCGGAGCCCTTCCCCTGGCAGCGCCCTCCCAGCCCGAGAGCAGCGACAAGTCATCGCCTGCAAACCCCGCATCCAACAAGCCAACAGTTAGTGACACCCCCCCACCCCCCCGGCCCCCCGCCGCGGGGGGAGCCGAGCAACACGGAGATGATGGAGCCCCCGGTCTGGAGAGCGCACCCCGAGAAGGCACCTACCTGGGGAGGGGAGCGGGCCGCGGGCGGGACCGAGCAGCCGCCCGGCCCGGCGGGGACAACCTGCGGCGGTGGCCGGGAGGAGAGGAGCCAGGGAGCCGGAGGAGCTCGGGAACTGATGGAGCCCAGGGGCGGAGGAGCCGGAGGAGCTCGGGAACTGATGGAGCCCAGGGGCGGAGGAGCCGGAGGAGCCCAGGAGCCGGAGGAGCCCGGGAGCCGGAGCAGCCCGGGAGCCGGAGCAGCCCGGGAGCCGGAGCAGCCCGGGAGCCGGAGGAGCCGGAGGAGCCCGGGAGCTGGAGGAGCCCGGGAGCCGGAGAATCCCGGGAGTCGGAGAATCCCGGGAGCCGGAGCAGCCGGAGCAGCCCAGGAGCCGGAGGAGCCCGGGAGCCGGAGAATCCCGGGAGTCGGAGGAGCCGGAGGAGCCCGGGAGCCGGAGAATCCCGGGAGCCGGAGGAGCCGCAGCAGCCCGGGAGCCAGAGCGGCCGCGCCGCCGAACGCCCCGCGGGGTCCCGGCCGGGACACCCGCCCCTGTGGGGGTTCCCCCCCGGGCGGCAGCGCGGGCGAAGGCACACGGGTGGGGCCGCGCCACGCTGCCACACCCCCGGACACGCCGCGCCGTGCGGGAGATGCCCCCCCCCCCCCCCCCCCCCCCCAGGTCCCGCTGCAGAAGCGGCACCGGCGCTGCGCCCTGGCACAGCCAAGCTCTGCCCGGCCACCGCTGGGAAACGGGAAAACGCTGCCGGGCTCAGCGCCTGCTGAGACCTGGCGTGGGGGTCATCTTCCATGGTAGACAGAGAGCCTCACCTCCTTCAGCTGGGGCTTTGTTTGGTCTGCAGTAAAAAGAACACACACTTAAAATAAAATCAGTAAAACTTTCCCCCCAGTTTTCTTAAGAAATGGAGCTTTCCTACTCTGTCAACTCAGAAACAGGAGGCAAGTTCCTAGTAGTGGAATTTTTTCAGTGGGAACAGAGAAAGGGACTTTGTTCTAAAAGCAGGCACGTATTTACTGAACTAATTCACTTACCTGTGTAACATGCTACCAATCTACTGCACAGAATAGGGCACTGTGTACAGATAAGTTGTGGAAAAATGAACTGCAGTCCTCTTTTCTGCTACCCACAGCCACATTCACAGCCTTCCTTCATTTCCACTGACATCCAGTTGTCCAGCTTCAAAATTTAAGGAAAGTGCTAGAAATTTCCTCCGATATGCAATATATGGCACACAGAACTATCACAGCTAAATCCAGAAAACTACCTGCCTGGAAGGAAAATGAAGCTACTGCCTGGCCTGTGTGTACCTATGAGCTACATGTCCGAAATACACTTTAAAGCTTACACTAGAGCCATTTGTATAGATTTTCTTCGGTTTTCTTACAACAGAACCAACACTTCTGAACAGATAGACCCAAGAGCAGCAAGACCAAGAGGAGATCAGGATTTAGGCACGCAGCAGCAGTAGATACCCTGTCCCGCTGCAGACTCCTGCCACACAAGGACATCTCTGGGGAGCAGATGAAGACGTGCTCTTGGAGACACATCAGAGCTGGGAAGCAGAAGTGAAATTCCTAGGTGCAGCAGAGTTCACTGCGGAGAAGAGGCATCGGTGGGGCGTGCCTGCACGGAAACACCACAAGCAGGAACTCGGGGAAGGGGAGTGGGCTCCTCAAAGCACCCGTCATGCGAACAGGCAACTCCTGCTCTCCCTGGCTGGTGACACCGGAGCACCGCGGTAGATCTCTGGTGCCTTCTAACGGAGAAGAGGCGAGGCTGATCCCTCTCCTCCAAGGGGCTCCTGCGACAAATCAAACGCTGGCTGTGCCTCTACCCGCATACTGAAATCTTTCCCTCCCACCCCAGCCTGTGTGCACAGGACAAACCCCCAGGCTCTGCAAAGGTCAGAGGGAGTCAAGCACCTAATTGCTGCCACTGGAAAAAAAAAAAAAAAAAAAAAATTATTCTCTTTTACAATTTTAACTATTCAGCCAACTGTATTTTTGTTTCAGGTACCAAACGAACTTTTAGCAATGGCTTACAAAAATAGAGAAGTTTAGCCATATTTATGGTACATATTTCCTGGAACCCTAAGTACTAAAAGAAGTGAAATTATATTTAGCAGCCATATCTCAGCTGTATCCCTCTGGTGAACTTTAACATTATGGTATGTCTTCCATGTGTCAGATTTTAATACCCATTGCTGGCATCTCTTGTGGTTAAAGTGAGCTCACATTGACACGAATGCCCAAAGCTGCTACTGAATTAAAGGTATTCAGTGTGTTTTGTGGGTGGATGCTTGTTCAAAAGCATAGGTATCAATTATCAATATACATATTTAATCAATTTTAAAACTGGTTTGTTGAATATTTTAATCTACTTCATTTAGTTTCCCCACCAAAACCTCCTGCAGCTGCTTGTACCCACTTAGTGCTGAAGGGGTGAGGTCTCCACCGAGATAGCAATTCTGCCATTAGCCACAGAGCGTCACTACTGACTGATGCTCTCCTTTCCAGGGCTAACACCGAGAGCACCGTTTTCCTGGTTCAGATACCTACATGCAGAGTCATCACTGGAAAGTGAAGTCTGCTCGTGGGGAGTCACGAGTGGGGAGCCCATGGCTCGCGCCTCCTAAATCCCCAGCAGCGGCAGCTCCTGGAGCCTTTTCCCCTCGCTGCTCACAGCGGGCCACCCAGGGCTCCCCTCCATCAGCACTGGCTCTCCCACAAGCAGGGAGTGAGGATTTTCTAGATGGGCAAACCTGTCCCTGGTGTCAGTCGACCTGCCTAACCCATCGGGAAGCAAGGACTCATTTATTCCAGCTGACGATCAAATTACTCTCTATTAATAAACAGGCTGCAAACCATCCCAGAGGGCAGGAAGGAAGGATATTATTCCTCTGAAGCGACCTTAGAAGTCATAAGAGATGAGGTTTGCTTAAGAAAAATCACAAGAGGAGACTCTTTCTCCAAGGACACAACTTCAAATGTGACAGTGCACAAAAAGATCGTTGTCTTCTGCAGATCATGTGAAACAGTGCCAAGACCATACACTGGCTTCAGGAAAAGGCTTTGGAAAGCTCTAGTCAGAGATGGGTAAGTTAAACAATTAAAAGCCCTGTTAGGGTTTGGAGAGTTTTTTTAGTTTATATTTGACAGACATAATTGCTACTTTTATTCTTAAGAATATAAATGGTCCGCCTGTAGGAGGTAGAAAGTCCCCAGCCAAGAGGACTTGGGTACTTTCTGTCTATTCTAGGTCTTAGCTTTAACCAGAAAAGAAGAAAACATTAAACAATTTGGGAGATGGGGGAGTCAATGTAGCAGAAGTTTTGCTGCTGGCATCATGGCATCTAGGATGTCAACTGCACCCCCTGGGACTTCTTGTATCTCTGGGCCTGGGTCAGGAGTGTGTTGTCCAACCTCTATTCATGTACCAAGACTGTGTTGCAAAGTGCCCCTTTACCTCACTGGTGTGCCAGAGGAATCCAGAGCCCACGAAGGAAGGGACTTCCACACCGCCAGTTGATACTGACAAAAGTAGAAACCATTTGGCTTCTGTTCACCATGTGCACAGCTCACTCACTGGCCTTCTAAACCCATGCAAATGTTTCTTTCAGGACTTTGGAGAGACAGAGCAAAATAAGAAAGGAGACACTCAAGCATTTCCCCTGCCTTGGAAGGAGCTGAACCAACCCCTGCTGACCGCAGCACAGAGCTAGGGATACTGGTTAGACAGTATTCTGCATAAGTCTAATTTTTAGACAAATGTTTCCTTTAAGGTGGGTTCAGGGCCCGTACACAGGCTGGTCAACTGTTCTCATTGGCCTTCAACAAAAGAAAACCTTCTGTTCTTGTTATTTTTTTTGCATAATCATCTTGAATTACACCGTGATCTTTTTTCTTCTTTCTTTAACTCCTTGTTCAGCTTCAATAGTTCATACAAATAACGTAATTACTCCCCAGAAATTTTATCAGGAAAGGCTCCTCACTGTCTTTCAGGAACTGTACTTTGAAGCAGCAATGACATGTCTCCACTACCAGCTCCTTATGCACTATACACAACAGGGATTCTTCAAAAATGCTGTTAGAATAACACTAAGGGACCATGTGGCATTTCATCAGTGCCGAATGAAGAACCGCTAAGATGTGCTTGGGCTTTTCAGCATGCAACACTTTATGCTGCACACATTCATATTAGAGTTCAGCTGAGTAAAATATCAAATAGCTGTTACGTACTGGGACAAAGCATACCTCTGGGAAAGCTCCTTAAATAGGCACAAGGCTTTATCCTCAGTGATACCCTGAGTCCTGTATCTGGTTTCTGTAATAATGGTCCAAGTAAACTGAGCTTGCTTTTTGCCAGGCATCATACTGCATCGGCCTCAAGCTGGTTCGCTCTGGATGGCTTTGGTCATGCTCCACCATGTCAGGGCAGGACTGACTCTTCTCCTCTGTGCATTATGCTTAGAACATGATCAGACTGAAATATGTGTAACTGATAGCAGAATTTAGTTGACAAGTACCAGGTTCTGTCCCTGGGCTGACTGCTTAACCGCAGGTCTGAAAGGCAAAGGAGGGCACTGTTGGGGTTAAACTCATCTCCTCCTGCAAGGTTTTAGCTTTTGACATCCTGCTAACAAATACAGTTAGAGCCCAATAACAACGCCTTTAAAAACCTTAAACATCTGCTAAATCATCATCAGAGTGCAGCCATTTTTTCCCTTTTCAGTTAGATTGCTTTATAAAAAAACAAACCAAAACCCCAAAACCCTAAAAAACCAGGAAAAGCTCTGGCAAACTCTTTGAGCAAAAGACAACTATGTCAGTTAAAAGCTGCCAAAGGTGAAACTCTCACTTCTGTAGACAGACAGCCTAAATCACTTCAGCAGTTAGATCTCATTTACACTTCTTCGAACAGCAAAGTATAAACGACATTGGGACTGTTTGTTAGCTGCTCCTCTGCATAGGGATGAATTTCTCCCTGAAGCAGGACACCAGCTGAGGCATATTTTTTCAAAACATCTATAAAATTAAAAAATCCACTCCTACCTTCTTTCACTGCACACTCAGTGGTACAGGCAGAGAAATCGAAGCAGGCTGGATGCTACTAAGCAGAATTTCAGCATCTTGGGTGTCCAAAATGTCACCACATGGATCAGTCCAACAAGGTAGGAAGCTGTGGCAAGGGATTCAATTGCTTCATCTGGTTTTCCCAACTGACACACATCCCATTCCATTTGCATATTGTCATTTAAGTGCTTTCC